TGGGAATTTAAGAGAATCATCAGTGGTATCATTCTGTTTAAAGATAGAACGATATTGTAATTTAAAGTTTATTGATGGATTCAAATCAAATAAAAGTAAACGACTGGAAACACATACAATTCCCCATATAAAGCATCTAATTAAATCAATGAATATAAACAATTTATGGTTGTACGACTCTTATAAATTGAAAAGAAAAAATTGTATTGGTTTGACCATGACCATGTACTTACATCAGTAGATTCAAGTAGTGTCCATGGTGCTGAAGGTCCCGTTCGTCCAAATACTCTAAATGTTTGCACATTGTCATTGGCAGGAAGTTTTACTTCTGACAGATCAACGGGCTCAACATCATCAGTAAGTTTAAATGTGACGTTGGTAGGAGCATCCGATGGGTTAATTGTAAATTGATCACCACCTGGTCTCAGATTCTCTGGATCATCTGTCGATGGGAATCCAGATGGTTGTTCAAGGTATGCAGCTGGTATAACTGTTGGACTTGCCATTCCTTCTGTCACAAGACACCGTGCTGAAATACAAAATGTGCCAAGTGTTAAGATACAACACACATCCATCAATCAAATGCATGTAAATCATTTTTTTATATTTAAACTGTAATGGTCACTTCAAAGATTTTGTTGGATTCAGAGAGTGTTCATATAAATGAAGCCTGGATATTATTCCCTTTCTTTAAAAAATAAATAAAAATAAACTTACGTGTAGTTGTTCCAACTGTTAAAAGGAATAAAAGGAAAAGTTAAGATAAGATAAGTAACTCAACCAATTTTGTTTCAGCTTAAAATTGTTCGACTTTCTTTATTTACATACGTATCTAGATTTATCTTATGGTTGTTCTAAACTAACGGACTGCAGTTGAACAAAATAAATATCTGAAATTTGACACTCGAAATTAGGGATATTCAGAAATTACAATTACCTGTAGGAGATGTTCCTGCTTCAGTGGGTGATGTTCCTGCTTCAGTGGGTGATGTGCCGGACACACTTGTTTCTAAAATAAAAGAAGTACGCCCATAGAATCATAGACGACAATTGGATTGAATTCCTTGGAAGATTATTCAAATTTATTTTCTTTGCATATTTTCATCGTCGAACACATAATAAAACTGAATTACAAATATATTAGTATCCTACCTTCGAAACATGCTCTAACATCAAGAGAGAAACTTGTTTCGGAATCGTTATTGGTTTGGGTTACTTCGACTCTGATTTGTGCAGCTTCCGTACCAGCAGGGAAGGTAGCTTTAGGAATGGGTGCTGATAAATCAGTCTGTAAAAATAATAGAAAACATCAGTTCTTGTAAACAAAAAACTCTTAAGGAATAGAGTCTTAATAGCAAGCGTGTTTATACTTACTGCAGTCAAATAAGTTGCTTCTGTTTCTGAACCACCAGTTGCAATTACAAATACCCTGATAGATCCTACATTCTGTGGTGATACAAGTTCCACTGATTTAATTTCTACCGTTTCATCAGTGATGGGTGCCAAATCGATTGTTACACTAATTGGTGAAGATTGGGCAGGGAAAGTAGCTGTGGTTGCACTTCCTGGTCTAAGGTTTTCGGGATTGGAAACGCCCGGTGCTGTTATACTGGAAGCGGGTATAATAGCAGGGTCCTCCATACCTTTAACCTCGGCACAAACTGTAAATTAGAGCAAAACAACGGTTAATAAAATTGCAAATATTTTATAGTTATCAAATATGTTTGAAAGTTTTTTATTTATATAGTCATTTATATACGCAGGTGATGTTTTCAAAAACATAGAGTGGCCCTTTCAATACATATTGGTAGAAAGACATCCTAGAAAGATGTCACAAGACATCGTGCTGAAATACAAGATGTGCCAAGTATTAAGATACAACATATATCCATAAATCAAATGTTTTGGTTTAAACTGTAATGGTCGCTTCAAACTTCAAAATTCTATAGTATCATGTTTGTGATATGTCATATTTAAGCTCAAATGTTGATTTATTGTTTTAATTTGACTGTTTACATTAATTTACGTGTTTTTGTTCCAACTGTAAATAGAAAACGAAACACAAATTATTAATAACAGATAACACTATAGCTTAGAAAAGCTTGAATAATTTAAACTTCCCAATATCTCACAATATCAAAATTGGCGAAATTTAAATGATCTGCATATTTGTTTTAGTATGAATGAAGCTATGAATCATTTTCAAAGAAAATTACGGGTCTTATCTGTGAATAGATGTTAAGATGACATAACTTCATAGAAACCATTTAAAAATGTAAATCATTATAGTAGTTGGGACGATTTTATATGAAACCACTAAAACCATTATTGTTGCTACTAGATCACTGTCTCTCTGGAGGGCTTTCGGTAATTAGCCAATTAAATAATTAATTAAAATCCCATTGGTTTAAATTGATACAAAAATGTTGAAATACGCTGCTGTAATCATTTATTTAAATAGCTCCACCCGCTCCCTCCAATCAAATCCGGGTTCATTGTCTAAACTGGTTCTTCGAATGGTTTCAGTAATTAATAATTATAAAACCAAATTAAACCCAAATTAGTAAAAATTATACCAATGTCGAGATATAGATTTTATAGTGATGTTTTATATGGACAGCTGAACGCATTATTTCGCCACTGGAGCACTGTCAATTTGAAGCGTTTAAATGATTAAACTTGTCATTTCAGTGAATTAACAACACCCTAAGCAACTAACATTCAGGCAAATGTATCAAATGCAAAACACAAGGTGCGGCACTTATGTAACCTATGGGGATCCATCACAAGGGAGAGTGTCAATCCGGTGACGCACGTTCAGTCTCGTACTCGTCTCGAGCAATCGGTTGCCATGAAACACACACCCTCTGTTGCAAGAGTGGTAAAATTGATCGAGCACATCCTTTGGTTATCCCAATGCTTCATATGGAATTTAAAAAAAAATCTGCTGAAAACTATAGCTTAATATCATTATCCTGTAATGTAGCCAAAGCTTCACACAAAATTTGAAAAAGGATCTCTTGAAAATTGTAGCCTCTATCAAGGTTTTTGGATAAGAGGATATCACTCTGGAACAAAAGGCCGTGGAAAGTTCACTCTCTCTTGGGTGCGTCACAATGCGAGGCATTTTGTATCGTATTTACGTAATTATACAGCTGTCACTTTTCAGCTTCAAGATACGTATAAGCGGTCCTCTAGTAGTTTGTGGGAGAAGTTCTGGTCGCAGATGGCGAAATTCTTGGTGCTGGATATATAAATCAATTGTTTTTCAAGTGCATGGCCATCTGAAATTAAAGTGCTTGTCCGAGAATATAAGCCGGGCCTAGAAGATCTGTAACTGTCAAGTACATTGACATCATTAACCATTACTGCTTTATGTAAATAGGCTGCATCAAGATATAAATAATTGTAATTAAATGTAGTTGATTGTTTGTACTTGTATTACCTGTGGGAGAAGTTCCAGGCGCAGTCGGTGAAGTTCCGGGTCCAGTTGGGGAAGTTCCGGGTGCAGTTGGGGAAGTTCCTGGTGCTGGAGACAGAAATGATTTTATATTAAATATTTTATAAAAGAATGAATTGTTCATCAGTTCTTTAACTGCTCAAGGGGTTTGTGGTAGAAGGTCCTGGGCGCCGGTGGCGAAGTTAATGCTGCTCGATGTATAAATCATTTGTTTTTCAAGACATTGACTGCTGAAATTAAAGTGCTTGTCTGATAATATAGGCTGGGCCTCGGAGTAGTGTAACTGTCAAACAAATTGACAGTAGTATCCAATAATCATTTGTATAAAAGAACTACACCAAAATATAAATAATTGTTACTTCCATTAGATAGATATGGAATAGTATATCATCTGCTGTTAAAAAACATTTAACATGATATTCTAGTAAAGATTAAAAATGTCCGACTACAATTAACTGTGGGAGACGTTCCGGCGCAGTTGGCGAAGTTCCGGGTGCAGTTGGCGAAGTTTCGGGTGCTGGAGATATAAATGGTTATACAGATATTTCAGAAAAGAATTAATTGTTTGTCAACACTTGCATTGCTCAAATTAAACAAATGTCAAGGAAATTGACGCTCCTTTCAATTAAATCAAAATTCATTACATGTTTACTGTTTATCCATATATTACATTCGTGGCAGCTATTGTTACAGACCTATTTGAGTCCACGCAATGTTTTATTTCATTCCATCTGATATAAAATTTCCTAAAATATATTTAACAAGTTATCAAATCGTTCATTAGGCTTACCTGTTGGTGATGTTCCTTCTGTGCCAGTTGTAACTATAAAGATACAAATGTAGTAGAACATTAATATGGGATAAAGTAATTATATTAAAGGTGGATAAAGAAATATCTAAGAAAAAAAGAATAAAGATTTGCTACGAACCTACAAAACAGGCGTGCACACTAACATCAATCGTCACTGGTTTGTCCGAATCCGTTGGTGTTATTTCGACCATAATCTCTGTGACAACGACTTCAGGTGGGAATTTAAGAGAATCATCAGTGGTATCATTCTGTTTAAAGATAGAACGATATTGTAATTTAAAGTTTATTGATGGATTCAAATCAAATAAAAGTAAACGACTGGAAACACATACAATTCCCCATATAAAGCATCTAATTAAATCAATGAATATAAACAATTTATGGTTGTACGACTCTTATAAATTGAAAAGAAAAAATTGTATTGGTTTGACCATGACCATGTACTTACATCAGTAGATTCAAGTAGTGTCCATGGTGCTGAAGGTCCCGTTCGTCCAAATACTCTAAATGTTTGCACATTGTCATTGGCAGGAAGTTTTACTTCTGACAGATCAACGGGCTCAACATCATCAGTAAGTTTAAATGTGACGTTGGTAGGAGCATCCGATGGGTTAATTGTAAATTGATCACCACCTGGTCTCAGATTCTCTGGATCATCTGTCGATGGGAATCCAGATGGTTGTTCAAGGTATGCAGCTGGTATAACTGTTGGACTTGCCATTCCTTCTGTCACAAGACACCGTGCTGAAATACAAAATGTGCCAAGTGTTAAGATACAACACACATCCATCAATCAAATGCATGTAAATCATTTTTTTTATATTTAAACTGTAATGGTCACTTCAAAGATTTTGTTGGATTCAGAGAGTGTTCATATAAATGAAGCCTGGATATTATTCCCTTTCTTTAAAAAATAAATAAAAATAAACTTACGTGTAGTTGTTCCAACTGTTAAAAGGAATAAAAGGAAAAGTTAAGATAAGATAAGTAACTCAACCAATTTTGTTTCAGCTTAAAATTGTTCGACTTTCTTTATTTACATACGTATCTAGATTTATCTTATGGTTGTTCTAAACTAACGGACTGCAGTTGAACAAAATAAATATCTGAAATTTGACACTCGAAATTAGGGATATTCAGAAATTACAATTACCTGTAGGAGATGTTCCTGCTTCAGTGGGTGATGTTCCTGCTTCAGTGGGTGATGTGCCGGACACACTTGTTTCTAAAATAAAAGAAGTACGCCCATAGAATCATAGACGACAATTGGATTGAATTCCTTGGAAGATTATTCAAATTTATTTTCTTTGCATATTTTCATCGTCGAACACATAATAAAACTGAATTACAAATATATTAGTATCCTACCTTCGAAACATGCTCTAACATCAAGAGAGAAACTTGTTTCGGAATCGTTATTGGTTTGGGTTACTTCGACTCTGATTTGTGCAGCTTCCGTACCAGCAGGGAAGGTAGCTTTAGGAATGGGTGCTGATAAATCAGTCTGTAAAAATAATAGAAAACATCAGTTCTTGTAAACAAAAAACTCTTAAGGAATAGAGTCTTAATAGCAAGCGTGTTTATACTTACTGCAGTCAAATAAGTTGCTTCTGTTTCTGAACCACCAGTTGCAATTACAAATACCCTGATAGATCCTACATTCTGTGGTGATACAAGTTCCACTGATTTAATTTCTACCGTTTCATCAGTGATGGGTGCCAAATCGATTGTTACACTAATTGGTGAAGATTGGGCAGGGAAAGTAGCTGTGGTTGCACTTCCTGGTCTAAGGTTTTCGGGATTGGAAACGCCCGGTGCTGTTATACTGGAAGCGGGTATAATAGCAGGGTCCTCCATACCTTTAACCTCGGCACAAACTGTAAATTAGAGCAAAACAACGGTTAATAAAATTGCAAATATTTTATAGTTATCAAATATGTTTGAAAGTTTTTTATTTATATAGTCATTTATATACGCAGGTGATGTTTTCAAAAACATAGAGTGGCCCTTTCAATACATATTGGTAGAAAGACATCCTAGAAAGATGTCACAAGACATCGTGCTGAAATACAAGATGTGCCAAGTATTAAGATACAACATATATCCATAAATCAAATGTTTTGGTTTAAACTGTAATGGTCGCTTCAAACTTCAAAATTCTATAGTATCATGTTTGTGATATGTCATATTTAAGCTCAAATGTTGATTTATTGTTTTAATTTGACTGTTTACATTAATTTACGTGTTTTTGTTCCAACTGTAAATAGAAAACGAAACACAAATTATTAATAACAGATAACACTATAGCTTAGAAAAGCTTGAATAATTTAAACTTCCCAATATCTCACAATATCAAAATTGGCGAAATTTAAATGATCTGCATATTTGTTTTAGTATGAATGAAGCTATGAATCATTTTCAAAGAAAATTACGGGTCTTATCTGTGAATAGATGTTAAGATGACATAACTTCATAGAAACCATTTAAAAATGTAAATCATTATAGTAGTTGGGACGATTTTATATGAAACCACTAAAACCATTATTGTTGCTACTAGATCACTGTCTCTCTGGAGGGCTTTCGGTAATTAGCCAATTAAATAATTAATTAAAATCCCATTGGTTTAAATTGACACAAAAATGTTGAAATACGCTGCTGTAATCATTTATTTAAATAGCTCCACCCGCTCCCTCCAATCAAATCCGGGTTCATTGTCTAAACTGGTTCTTCGAATGGTTTCAGTAATTAATAATTATAAAACCAAATTAAACCCAAATTAGTAAAAATTATACCAATGTCGAGATATAGATTTTATAGTGATGTTCTATATGGACAGCTGAACGCATTATTTCGCCACTGGAGCACTGTCAATTTGAAGCGTTTAAATGATTAAACTTGTCATTTCAGTGAATTAACAACACCCTAAGCAACTAACATTCAGGCAAATGTATCAAATGCAAAACACAAGGTGCGGCACTTATGTAACCTATGGGGATCCATCACAAGGGAGAGTGTCAATCCGGTGACGCACGTTCAGTCTCGTACTCGTCTCGAGCAATCGGTTGCCATGAAACACACACCCTCTGTTGCAAGAGTGGTAAAATTGATCGAGCACATCCTTTGGTTATCCCAATGCTTCATATGGAATTTAAAAAAAAATCTGCTGAAAACTATAGCTTAATATCATTATCCTGTAATGTAGCCAAAGCTTCACACAAAATTTGAAAAAGGATCTCTTGAAAATTGTAGCCTCTATCAAGGTTTTTGGATAAGAGGATATCACTCTGGAACAAAAGGCCGTGGAAAGTTCACTCTCTCTTGGGTGCGTCACAATGAGAGGCATTTTGTATCGTATTTACGTAATTATACAGCTGTCACTTTTCAGCTTCAAGATACGTATAAGCGGTCCTCTAGTAGTTTGTGGGAGAAGTTCTGGTCGCAGATGGCGAAATTCTTGGTGCTGGATATATAAATCAATTGTTTTTCAAGTGCATGGCCATCTGAAATTAAAGTGCTTGTCCGAGAATATAAGCCGGGCCTAGAAGATCTGTAACTGTCAAGTACATTGACATCATTAACCATTACTGCTTTATGTAAATAGGCTGCATCAAGATATAAATAATTGTAATTAAATGTAGTTGATTGTTTGTACTTGTATTACCTGTGGGAGAAGTTCCAGGCGCAGTCGGTGAAGTTCCGGGTCCAGTTGGGGAAGTTCCGGGTGCAGTTGGGGAAGTTCCTGGTGCTGGAGACAGAAATGATTTTATATTAAATATTTTATAAAAGAATGAATTGTTCATCAGTTCTTTAACTGCTCAAGGGGTTTGTGGTAGAAGGTCCTGGGCGCCGGTGGCGAAGTTAATGCTGCTCGATGTATAAATCATTTGTTTTTCAAGACATTGACTGCTGAAATTAAAGTGCTTGTCTGATAATATAGGCTGGGCCTCGGAGTAGTGTAACTGTCAAACAAATTGACAGTAGTATCCAATAATCATTTGTATAAAAGAACTACACCAAAATATAAATAATTGTTACTTCCATTAGATAGATATGGAATAGTATATCATCTGCTGTTAAAAAACATTTAACATGATATTCTAGTAAAGATTAAAAATGTCCGACTACAATTAACTGTGGGAGACGTTCCGGCGCAGTTGGCGAAGTTCCGGGTGCAGTTGGCGAAGTTTCGGGTGCTGGAGATATAAATGGTTATACAGATATTTCAGAAAAGAATTAATTGTTTGTCAACACTTGCATTGCTCAAATTAAACAAATGTCAAGGAAATTGACGCTCCTTTCAATTAAATCAAAATTCATTACATGTTTACTGTTTATCCATATATTACATTCGTGGCAGCTATTGTTACAGACCTATTTGAGTCCACGCAATGTTTTATTTCATTCCATCTGATATAAAATTTCCTAAAATATATTTAACAAGTTATCAAATCGTTCATTAGGCTTACCTGTTGGTGATGTTCCTTCTGTGCCAGTTGTAACTATAAAGATACAAATGTAGTAGAACATTAATATGGGATAAAGTAATTATATTAAAGGTGGATAAAGAAATATCTAAGAAAAAAAGAATAAAGATTTGCTACGAACCTACAAAACAGGCGTGCACACTAACATCAATCGTCACTGGTTTGTCCGAATCCGTTGGTGTTATTTCGACCATAATCTCTGTGACAACGACTTCAGGTGGGAATTTAAGAGAATCATCAGTGGTATCATTCTGTTTAAAGATAGAACGATATTGTAATTTAAAGTTTATTGATGGATTCAAATCAAATAAAAGTAAACGACTGGAAACACATACAATTCCCCATATAAAGCATCTAATTAAATCAATGAATATAAACAATTTATGGTTGTACGACTCTTATAAATTGAAAAGAAAAAATTGTATTGGTTTGACCATGACCATGTACTTACATCAGTAGATTCAAGTAGTGTCCATGGTGCTGAAGGTCCCGTTCGTCCAAATACTCTAAATGTTTGCACATTGTCATTGGCAGGAAGTTTTACTTCTGACAGATCAACGGGCTCAACATCATCAGTAAGTTTAAATGTGACGTTGGTAGGAGCATCCGATGGGTTAATTGTAAATTGATCACCACCTGGTCTCAGATTCTCTGGATCATCTGTCGATGGGAATCCAGATGGTTGTTCAAGGTATGCAGCTGGTATAACTGTTGGACTTGCCATTCCTTCTGTCACAAGACACCGTGCTGAAATACAAAATGTGCCAAGTGTTAAGATACAACACACATCCATCAATCAAATGCATGTAAATCATTTTTTTTATATTTAAACTGTAATGGTCACTTCAAAGATTTTGTTGGATTCAGAGAGTGTTCATATAAATGAAGCCTGGATATTATTCCCTTTCTTTAAAAAATAAATAAAAATAAACTTACGTGTAGTTGTTCCAACTGTTAAAAGGAATAAAAGGAAAAGTTAAGATAAGATAAGTAACTCAACCAATTTTGTTTCAGCTTAAAATTGTTCGACTTTCTTTATTTACATACGTATCTAGATTTATCTTATGGTTGTTCTAAACTAACGGACTGCAGTTGAACAAAATAAATATCTGAAATTTGACACTCGAAATTAGGGATATTCAGAAATTACAATTACCTGTAGGAGATGTTCCTGCTTCAGTGGGTGATGTTCCTGCTTCAGTGGGTGATGTGCCGGACACACTTGTTTCTAAAATAAAAGAAGTACGCCCATAGAATCATAGACGACAATTGGATTGAATTCCTTGGAAGATTATTCAAATTTATTTTCTTTGCATATTTTCATCGTCGAACACATAATAAAACTGAATTACAAATATATTAGTATCCTACCTTCGAAACATGCTCTAACATCAAGAGAGAAACTTGTTTCGGAATCGTTATTGGTTTGGGTTACTTCGACTCTGATTTGTGCAGCTTCCGTACCAGCAGGGAAGGTAGCTTTAGGAATGGGTGCTGATAAATCAGTCTGTAAAAATAATAGAAAACATCAGTTCTTGTAAACAAAAAACTCTTAAGGAATAGAGTCTTAATAGCAAGCGTGTTTATACTTACTGCAGTCAAATAAGTTGCTTCTGTTTCTGAACCACCAGTTGCAATTACAAATACCCTGATAGATCCTACATTCTGTGGTGATACAAGTTCCACTGATTTAATTTCTACCGTTTCATCAGTGATGGGTGCCAAATCGATTGTTACACTAATTGGTGAAGATTGGGCAGGGAAAGTAGCTGTGGTTGCACTTCCTGGTCTAAGGTTTTCGGGATTGGAAACGCCCGGTGCTGTTATACTGGAAGCGGGTATAATAGCAGGGTCCTCCATACCTTTAACCTCGGCACAAACTGTAAATTAGAGCAAAACAACGGTTAATAAAATTGCAAATATTTTATAGTTATCAAATATGTTTGAAAGTTTTTTATTTATATAGTCATTTATATACGCAGGTGATGTTTTCAAAAACATAGAGTGGCCCTTTCAATACATATTGGTAGAAAGACATCCTAGAAAGATGTCACAAGACATCGTGCTGAAATACAAGATGTGCCAAGTATTAAGATACAACATATATCCATAAATCAAATGTTTTGGTTTAAACTGTAATGGTCGCTTCAAACTTCAAAATTCTATAGTATCATGTTTGTGATATGTCATATTTAAGCTCAAATGTTGATTTATTGTTTTAATTTGACTGTTTACATTAATTTACGTGTTTTTGTTCCAACTGTAAATAGAAAACGAAACACAAATTATTAATAACAGATAACACTATAGCTTAGAAAAGCTTGAATAATTTAAACTTCCCAATATCTCACAATATCAAAATTGGCGAAATTTAAATGATCTGCATATTTGTTTTAGTATGAATGAAGCTATGAATCATTTTCAAAGAAAATTACGGGTCTTATCTGTGAATAGATGTTAAGATGACATAACTTCATAGAAACCATTTAAAAATGTAAATCATTATAGTAGTTGGGACGATTTTATATGAAACCACTAAAACCATTATTGTTGCTACTAGATCACTGTCTCTCTGGAGGGCTTTCGGTAATTAGCCAATTAAATAATTAATTAAAATCCCATTGGTTTAAATTGATACAAAAATGTTGAAATACGCTGCTGTAATCATTTATTTAAATAGCTCCACCCGCTCCCTCCAATCAAATCCGGGTTCATTGTCTAAACTGGTTCTTCGAATGGTTTCAGTAATTAATAATTATAAAACCAAATTAAACCCAAATTAGTAAAAATTATACCAATGTCGAGATATAGATTTTATAGTGATGTTTTATATGGACAGCTGAACGCATTATTTCGCCACTGGAGCACTGTCAATTTGAAGCGTTTAAATGATTAAACTTGTCATTTCAGTGAATTAACAACACCCTAAGCAACTAACATTCAGGCAAATGTATCAAATGCAAAACACAAGGTGCGGCACTTATGTAACCTATGGGGATCCATCACAAGGGAGAGTGTCAATCCGGTGACGCACGTTCAGTCTCGTACTCGTCTCGAGCAATCGGTTGCCATGAAACACACACCCTCTGTTGCAAGAGTGGTAAAATTGATCGAGCACATCCTTTGGTTATCCCAATGCTTCATATGGAATTTTAAAAAAAATCTGCTGAAAACTATAGCTTAATATCATTATCCTGTAATGTAGCCAAAGCTTCACACAAAATTTGAAAAAGGATCTCTTGAAAATTGTAGCCTCTATCAAGGTTTTTGGATAAGAGGATATCACTCTGGAACAAAAGGCCGTGGAAAGTTCACTCTCTCTTGGGTGCGTCACACCAAAAATTCTAGCTTTTGGTAACCCAATGCGAGGCATTTTGTATCGTATTTACGTAATTATACAGCTGTCACTTTTCAGCTTCAAGATACGTATAAGCGGTCCTCTAGTAGTTTGTGGGAGAAGTTCTGGTCGCAGATGGCGAAATTCTTGGTGCTGGATATATAAATCAATTGTTTTTCAAGTGCATGGCCATCTGAAATTAAAGTGCTTGTCCGAGAATATAAGCCGGGCCTAGAAGATCTGTAACTGTCAAGTACATTGACATCATTAACCATTACTGCTTTATGTAAATAGGCTGCATCAAGATATAAATAATTGTAATTAAATGTAGTTGATTGTTTGTACTTGTATTACCTGTGGGAGAAGTTCCAGGCGCAGTCGGTGAAGTTCCGGGTGCAGTTGGGGAAGTTCCGGGTGCAGTTGGGGAAGTTCCTGGTGCTGGAGACAGAAATGATTTTATATTAAATATTTTATAAAAGAATGAATTGTTCATCAGTTCTTTAACTGCTCAAGGGGTTTGTGGTAGAAGGTCCTGGGCGCCGGTGGCGAAGTTAATGCTGCTCGATGTATAAATCATTTGTTTTTCAAGACATTGACTGCTGAAATTAAAGTGCTTGTCTGATAATATAGGCTGGGCCTCGGAGTAGTGTAACTGTCAAACAAATTGACAGTAGTATCCAATAATCATTTGTATAAAAGAACTACACCAAAATATAAATAATTGTTACTTCCATTAGATAGATATGGAATAGTATATCATCTGCTGTTAAAAAACATTTAACATGATATTCTAGTAAAGATTAAAAATGTCCGACTACAATTAACTGTGGGAGACGTTCCGGCGCAGTTGGCGAAGTTCCGGGTGCAGTTGGCGAAGTTTCGGGTGCTGGAGATATAAATGGTTATACAGATATTTCAGAAAAGAATTAATTGTTTGTCAACACTTGCATTGCTCAAATTAAACAAATGTCAAGGAAATTGACGCTCCTTTCAATTAAATCAAAATTCATTACATGTTTACTGTTTATCCATATATTACATTCGTGGCAGCTATTGTTACAGACCTATTTGAGTCCACGCAATGTTTTATTTCATTCCATCTGATATAAAATTTCCTAAAATATATTTAACAAGTTATCAAATCGTTCATTAGGCTTACCTGTTGGTGATGTTCCTTCTGTGCCAGTTGTAACTATAAAGATACAAATGTAGTAGAACATTAATATGGGATAAAGTAATTATATTAAAGGTGGATAAAGAAATATCTAAGAAAAAAAGAATAAAGATTTGCTACGAACCTACAAAACAGGCGTGCACACTAACATCAATCGTCACTGGTTTGTCCGAATCCGTTGGTGTTATTTCAACCATAATCTCTGTGACAACGACTTCAGGTGGGAATTTAAGAGAATCATCAGTGGTATCATTCTGTTTAAAGATAGAACGATATTGTAATTTAAAGTTTATTGATGGATTCAAATAAAATAAAAGTAAACGACTGGAAACACATACAATTCCCCATATAAAGCATCTAATTAAATCAATGAATATAAACAATTTATGGTTGTACGACTCTTATAAATTGAAAAGAAAAAATTGTATTGGTTTGACCATGACCATGTACTTACATCAGTAGATTCAAGTAGTGTCCATGGTGCTGAAGGTCCCGTTCGTCCAAATACTCTAAATGTTTGCACATTGTCATTGGCAGGAAGTTTTACTTCTGACAGATCAACGGGCTCAACATCATCAGTAAGTTTAAATGTGACGTTGGTAGGAGCATCCGATGGGTTAATTGTAAATTGATCACCACCTGGTCTCAGATTCTCTGGATCATCTGTCGATGGGAATCCAGATGGTTGTTCAAGGTATGCAGCTGGTATAACTGTTGGACTTGCCATTCCTTCTGTCACAAGACACCGTGCTGAAATACAAAATGTGCCAAGTGTTAAGATACAACACACATCCATCAATCAAATGCATGTAAATCATTTTTTTTATATTTAAACTGTAATGGTCGCTTCAAAGATTTTGTTGGATTCAGAGAGTGTTTATATAAATGAAGCCTGGACATTATTCCCTTTCTTTAAAAAATAAATAAAAATAAACTTACGTGTAGTTGTTCCAACTGGTAAAATGAATAAAAGGAAAAGTTAAGATAAGATAAGTAACTCAACCAATTTTGTTTCAGCTTAAAATTGTTCGACTTTCTTTATTTACATACGTATCTAGATTTATCTTATGGTTGTTCTAAACTAACGGACTGCAGTTGAACAAAATAAATATCTGAAATTTGACACTCGAAATTAGGGATATTCAGAAATTACAATTACCTGTAGGAGATGTTCCTGCTTCAGTGGGTGATGTTCCTGCTTCAGTGGGTGATGTGCCGGACACACTTGTTTCTAAAATAAAAGAAGTACGCCCATAGAATCATAGACGACAATTGGATTGAATTCCTTGGAAGATTATTCAAATTTATTTTCTTTGCATATTTTCATCGTCGAACACATAATAAAACTGAATTACAAATATATTAGTATCCTACCTTCGAAACATGCTCTAACATCAAGAGAGAAACTTGTTTCGGAATCGTTATTGGTTTGGGTTACTTCGACTCTGATTTGTGCAGCTTCCGTACCAGCAGGGAAGGTAGCTTTAGGAATGGGTGCTGATAAATCAGTCTGTAAAAATAATAGAAAACATCAGTTCTTGTAAACAAAAAACTCTTAAGGAATAGAGTCTTAATAGCAAGCGTGTTTATACTTACTGCAGTCAAATAAGTTGCTTCTGTTTCTGAACCACCAGTTGCAATTACAAATACCCTGATAGATCCTACATTCTGTGGTGATACAAGTTCCACTGATTTAATTTCTACCGTTTCATCAGTGATGGGTGCCAAATCGATTGTTACACTAATTGGTGAAGATTGGGCAGGGAAAGTAGCTGTGGTTGCACTTCCTGGTCTAAGGTTTTCGGGATTGGAAACGCCCGGTGCTGTTATACTGGAAGCGGGTATAATAGCAGGGTCCTCCATACCTTTAACCTCGGCACAAACTGTAAATTAGAGCAAAACAACGGTTAATAAAATTGCAAATATTTTATAGTTATCAAATATGTTTGAAAGTTTTTTATTTATATAGTCATTTATATACGCAGGTGATGTTTTCAAAAACATAGAGTGGCCCTTTCAATACATATTGGTAGAAAGACATCCTAGAAAGATGTCACAAGACATCGTGCTGAAATACAACATGTGCCAAGTATTAAGATACAACATATATCCATAAATCAAATGTTTTGGTTTAAACTGTAATGGTCGCTTCAAACTTCAAAATTCTATAGTATCATGTTTGTGATATGTCATATTTAAGCTCAAATGTTGATTTATTGTTTTAATTTGACTGTTTACATTAATTTACGTGTTTTTGTTCCAACTGTAAATAGAAAACGAAACACAAATTATTAATAACAGATAACACTATAGCTTAGAAAAGCTTGAATAATTTAAACTTCCCAATATCTCACAATATCAAAATTGGCGAAATTTAAATGATCTGCATATTTGTTTTAGTATGAATGAAGCTATGAATCATTTTCAAAGAAAATTACGGGTCTTATCTGTGAATAGATGTTAAGATGACATAACTTCATAGAAACCATTTAAAAATGTAAATCATTATAGTAGTTGGGACGATTTTATATGAAACCACTAAAACCATTATTGTTGCTACTAGATCACTGTCTCTCTGGAGGGCTTTCGGTAATTAGCCAATTAAATAATTAATTAAAATCCCATTGGTTTAAATTGACACAAAAATGTTGAAATACGCTGCTGTAATCATTTATTTAAATAGCTCCACCCGCTCCCTCCAATCAAATCCGGGTTCATTGTCTAAACTGGTTCTTCGAATGGTTTCAGTAATTAATAATTATAAAACCAAATTAAACCCAAATTAGTAAAAATTATACCAATGTCGAGATATAGATTTTATAGTGATGTTTTATATGGACAGCTGAACGCATTATTTCGCCACTGGAGCACTGTCAATTTGAAGCGTTTAAATGATTAAACTTGTCATTTCAGTGAATTAACAACACCCTAAGCAACTAACATTCAGGCAAATGTATCAAATGCAAAACACAAGGTGCGGCACTTATGTAACCTATGGGGATCCATCACAAGGGAGAGTGTCAATCCGGTGACGCACGTTCAGTCTCGTACTCGTCTCGAGCAATCGGTTGCCATGAAACACACACCCTCTGTTGCAAGAGTGGTAAAATTGGTTATCCCAATGCTTCATATGGAATTTAAAAAAAAATCTGCTGAAAACTATAGCTTAATATCATAATCCTGTAATGTAGCCAAAGCTTCACACAAAATTTGAAAAAGGATCTCTTGAAAATTGTAGCCTCTATCAAGGTTTTTGGATAAGAGGATATCACTCTGGAACAAAAGGCCGTGGAAAGTTCACTCTCTCTTGGGTGCGTCACACCAAAAATTCTAGCTTTTGGTAACCCAATGCGAGGCATTTTGTATCGTATTTACGTAATTATACAGCTGTCACTTTTCAGCTTCAAGATACGTATAAGCGGTCCTCTAGTAGTTTGTGGGAGAAGTTCTGGTCGCAGATGGCGAAATTCTTGGTGCTGGATATATAAATCAATTGTTTTTCAAGTGCATGGACATCTGAAATTAAAGTGCTTGTCCGAGAATATAAGCCGGGCCTAGAAGATCAGTAACTGTCAAGTAGATTGACATCATTAACCATTACTGCTTTATGTAAATAGGCTGCATCAAGATATAAATAATTGTAATTAAATGTAGTTGATTGTTTGTACGTGTATTACCTGTGGGAGAAGTTCCAGGCGCAGTCGGTGAAGTTCCGGGTGCAGTTGGGGAAGTTCCGGGTGCAGTTGGGGAAGTTCCTGGTGCTGGAGACAGAAATGATTTTATATTAAATATTTTATAAAAGAATGAATTGTTCATCAGTTCTTTAACTGCTCAAGGGGTTTGTGGTAGAAGGTCCTGGGCGCCGGTGGCGAAGTTAATGCTGCTCGATGTATAAATCATTTGTTTTTCAAGACATTGACTGCTGAAATTAAAGTGCTTGTCTGATAATATAGGCTGGGCCTCGGAGTAGTGTAACTGTCAAACAAATTGACAGTAGTATCCAATAATCATTTGTATAAAAGAACTACACCAAAATATAAATAATTGTTACTTCCATTAGATAGATATGGAATAGTATATCATCTGCTGTTAAAAAACATTTAACATGATATTCTAGTAAAGATTAAAAATGTCCGACTACAATTAACTGTGGGAGACGTTCCGGCGCAGTTGGCGAAGTTCCGGGTGCAGTTGGCGAAGTTTCGGGTGCTGGAGATATAAATGGTTATACAGATATTTCAGAAAAGAATTAATTGTTTGTCAACACTTGCATTGCTCAAATTAAACAAATGTCAAGGAAATTGACGCTCCTTTCAATTAAATCAAAATTCATTACATGTTTACTGTTTATCCATATATTACATTCGTGGCAGCTATTGTTACAGACCTATTTGAGTCCACGCAATGTTTTATTTCATTCCATCTGATATAAAATTTCCTAAAATATATTTAACAAGTTATCAAATCGTTCATTAGGCTTACCTGTTGGTGATGTTCCTTCTGTGCCAGTTGTAACTATAAAGATACAAATGTAGTAGAACATTAATATGGGATAAAGTAATTATATTAAAGGTGGATAAAGAAATATCTAAGAAAAAAAGAATAAAGATTTGCTACGAACCTACAAAACAGGCGTGCACACTAACATCAATCGTCACTGGTTTGTCCGAATCCGTTGGTGTTATTTCAACCATAATCTCTGTGACAACGACTTCAGGTGGGAATTTAAGAGAATCATCAGTGGTATCATTCTGTTTAAAGATAGAACGATATTGTAATTTAAAGTTTATTGATGGATTCAAATAAAATAAAAGTAAACGACTGGAAACACATACAATTCCCCATATAAAGCATCTAATTAAATCAATGAATATAAACAATTTATGGTTGTACGACTCTTATAAATTGAAAAGAAAAAATTGTATTGGTTTGACCATGACCATGTACTTACATCAGTAGATTCAAGTAGTGTCCATGGTGCTGAAGGTCCCGTTCGTCCAAATACTCTAAATGTTTGCACATTGTCATTGGCAGGAAGTTTTACTTCTGACAGATCAACGGGCTCAACATCATCAGTAAGTTTAAATGTGACGTTGGTAGGAGCATCCGATGGGTTAATTGTAAATTGATCACCACCTGGTCTCAGATTCTCTGGATCATCTGTCGATGGGAATCCAGATGGTTGTTCAAGGTATTCAGCTGGTATAACTGTTGGACTTGCCATTCCTTCTGTCACAAGACACCGTGCTGAAATACAAAATGTGCCAAGTGTTAAGATACAACACACATCCATCAATCAAATGCATGTAAATCATTTTTTTTATATTTAAACTGTAATGGTCGCTTCAAAGATTTTGTTGGATTCAGAAAGTGTTCATATAAATGAAGCCTGGACATTATTCCCTTTCTTTAAAAAATAAATAAAAATAAACTTACGTGTAGTTGTTCCAACTGGTAAAATGAATAAAAAGAAAAGTTAAGATAAGATAAGTAACTCAACCAATTTTGTTTCAGCTTAAAATTGTTCGACTTTCTTTATTTACATACGTATCTAGATTTATCTTATGGTTGTTCTAAACTAACGGACTGCAGTTGAACAAAATAAATATCTGAAATTTGACACTCGAAATTAGGGATATTCAGAAATTACAATTACCTGTAGGAGATGTTCCTGCTTCAGTGGGTGATGTTCCTGCTTCAGTGGGTGATGTGCCGGACACACTTGTTTCTAAAATAAAAGAAGTACGCCCATACAATCATAGACGACAATTGGATTGAATTCCTTGGAAGATTATTCAAATTTATTTTCTTTGCATATTTTCATCGTCGAACACATAATAAAACTGAATTACAAATATATTAGTATCCTACCTTCGAAACATGCTCTAACATCAAGAGAGAAACTTGTTTCGGAATCGTTATTGGTTTGGGTTACTTCGACTCTGATTTGTGCAGCTTCCGTACCAGCAGGGAAGGTAGCTTTAGGAATGGGTGCTGATAAATCAGTCTGTAAAAATAATAGAAAACATCAGTTCTTGTAAACAAAAAACTCTTAAGGAATAGAGTCTTAATAGCAAGCGTGTTTATACTTACTGCAGTCAAATAAGTTGCTTCTGTTTCTGAACCACCAGTTGCAATTACAAATACCCTGATAGATCCTACATTCTGTGGTGATACAAGTTCCACTGATTTAATTTCTACCGTTTCATCAGTGATGGGTGTCAAATCGATTGTTACACTAATTGGTGAAGATTGGGCAGGGAAAGTAGCTGTGGTTGCACTTCCTGGTCTAAGGTTTTCGGGATTGGAAACGCCCGGTGCTGTTATACTGGAAGCGGGTATAATAGCAGGGTCCTCCATACCTTTAACCTCGGCACAAACTGTAAATTAGAGCAAAACAACGGTTAATAAAATTGCAAATATTTTATAGTTATCAAATATGTTTGAAAGTTTTTTATTTATATAGTCATTTATATACGCAGGTGATGTTTTCAAAAACATAGAGTGGCCCTTTCAATACATATTGGTAGAAAGACATCCTAGAAAGATGTCACAAGACATCGTGCTGAAATACAACATGTGCCAAGTATTAAGATACAACATATATCCATAAATCAAATGTTTTGGTTTAAACTGTAATGGTCGCTTCAAACTTCAAAATTCTATAGTATCATGTTTGTGATATGTCATATTTAAGCTCAAATGTTGATTTATTGTTTTAATTTGACTGTTTACATTAATTTACGTGTTTTTGTTCCAACTGTAAATAGAAAACGAAACACAAATTATTAATAACAGATAACACTATAGCTTAGAAAAGCTTGAATAATTTAAACTTCCCAATATCTCACAATATCAAAATTGGCGAAATTTAAATGATCTGCATATTTGTTTTAGTATGAATGAAGCTATGAATCATTTTCAAAGAAAATTACGGGTCTTATCTGTGAATAGATGTTAAGATGACATAACTTCATAGAAACCATTTAAAAATGTAAATCGTTATAGTAGTTGGGACGATTTTATATGAAACCACTAAAACCATTATTGTTGCTACTAGATCACTGTCTCTCTGGAGGGCTTTCGGTAATTAGCCAATTAAATAATTAATTAAAATCCCATTGGTTTAAATTGACACAAAAATGTTGAAATACGCTGCTGTAATCATTTATTTAAATAGCTCCACCCGCTCCCTCCAATCAAATCCGGGTTCATTGTCTAAACTGGTTCTTCGAATGGTTTCAGTAATTAATAATTATAAACCAAATTAAACCCAAATTAGTAAAGATTATACCAATGTCGAGATATAGATTTTATAGTGATGTTTTATATGGACAGCTGAACGCATTATTTCGCCACTGGAGCACTGTCAATTTGAAGCGTTTAAATGATTAAACTTGTCATTTCAGTGAATTAACAACACCCTAAGCAACTAACATTCAGGCAAATGTATCAAATGCAAAACACAAGGTGCGGCACTTATGTAACCTATGGGGATCCATCACAAGGGAGAGTGTCAATCCGGTGACGCACGTTCAGTCTCGTACTCGTCTCGAGCAATCGGTTGCCATGAAACACACACCCTCTGTTGCAAGAGTGGTAAAATTGATCGAGCTCATCCTTTGGTTATCCCAATGCTTCATATGGAATTTAAAAAAAAATCTGCTGAAAACTATAGCTTAATATCATTATCCTGTAATGTAGCCAAAGCTTCACACAAAATTTGAAAAAGGATCTCTTGAAAATTGTAGCCTCTATCAAGGTTTTTGGATAAGAGGATATCACTCTGGAACAAAAGGCCGTGGAAAGTTCACTCTCTCTTGGGTGCGTCACACCAAAAATACTAGCTTTTGGTAACCCAATGAGAGGCATTTTGTATCGTATTTACGTAATTATACAGCTGTCACTTTTCAGCTTCAAGATACGTATAAGCGGTCCTCTAGTAGTTTGTGGGAGAAGTTCTGGTCGCAGATGGCGAAATTCTTGGTGCTGGATATATAAATCAATTGTTTTTCAAGTGCATGGCCATCTGAAATTAAAGTGCTTGTCCGAGAATATAAGCCGGGCCTAGAAGATCTGTAACTGTCAAGTACATTGACATCATTAACCATTACTGCTTTATGTAAATAGGCTGCATCAAGATATAAATAATTGTAATTAAATGTAGTTGATTGTTTGTACTTGTATTACCTGTGGGAGAAGTTCCAGGCGCAGTCGGTGAAGTTCCGGGTGCAGTTGGGGAAGTTCCGGGTGCAGTTGGGGAAGTTCCTGGTGCTGGAGACAGAAATGATTTTATATTAAATATTTTATAAAAGAATGAATTGTTCATCAGTTCTTTAACTGCTCAAGGGGTTTGTGGTAGAAGGTCCTGGGCGAAGTTAATGCTGCTCGATGTATAAATCATTTGTTTTTCAAAACATTGACTGCTGAAATTAAAGTGCTTGTCTGATAATATAGGCTGGGCCTCGGAGTAGTGTAACTGTCAAACAGTAGTATCCAATAATCATTTGTGTAAAAGAACTACACCAAAATATAAATAATTGTTACTTCCATTAGATATATATGGAATAGTATATCATCTGCTGTTAAAAAACATTTAACATGATATTCTAGTAAAGATTAAAAATGTCCGACTACAATTAACTGTGGGAGACGTTCCGGCGCAGTTGGCAAAGTTCCGGGTGCAGTTGGCGAAGTTTCGGGTGCTGGAGATATAAATGGTTATACAGATATTTCAGAAAAGAATTAATTGTTTGTCAACACTTGCATTGCTCAAATTAAACAAATGTCAAGGAAATTGACGCTCCTTTCAATTAAATCAAAATTCATTACATGTTTACTGTTTATCCATATATTACATTCGTGGCAGCTATTGTTACAGACCTATTTGAGTCCACGCAATGTTTTATTTCATTCCATCTGATATAAAATTTCCTAAAATATATTTAACAAGTTATCAAATCGTTCATTAGGCTTACCTGTTGGTGATGTTCCTTCTGTGCCAGTTGTAACTATAAAGATACAAATGTAGTAGAACATTAATATGGGATAAAGTAATTATATTAAATGTGGATAAAGAAATATCTAAGAAAAAAAGAATAAAGATTTGCTACGAACCTACAAAACAGGCGTGCACACTAACATCAATCGTCACTGGTTTGTCCGAATCCGTTGGTGTTATTTCAACCATAATCTCTGTGACAACGACTTCAGGTGGGAATTTAAGAGAATCATCAGTGGTATCATTCTGTTTAAAGATAGAACGATATTGTAATTTAAAGTTTATTGATGGATTCAAATAAAATAAAAGTAAACGACTGGAAACACATACAATTCCCCATATAAAGCATCTAATTAAATCAATGAATATAAACAATTTATGGTTGTACGACTCTTATAAATTGAAAAGAAAAAATTGTATTGGTTTGACCATGACCATGTACTTACATCAGTAGATTCAAGTAGTGTCCATGGTGCTGAAGGTCCCGTTCGTCCAAATACTCTAAATGTTTGCACATTGTCATTGGCAGGAAGTTTTACTTCTGACAGATCAACGGGCTCAACATCATCAGTAAGTTTAAATGTGACGTTGGTAGGAGCATCCGATGGGTTAATTGTAAATTGATCACCACCTGGTCTCAGATTCTCTGGATCATCTGTCGATGGGAATCCAGATGGTTGTTCAAGGTATTCAGCTGGTATAACTGTTGGACTTGCCATTCCTTCTGTCACGAGACACCGTGCTGAAATACAAGATGTGCCAAAGGTTAAGATACAACACACATGCATAAATCAAATGCATGTAAATCATATTTTTTGATTTAAACTGTAATGGTCGCTTCAAAGATTTTGTTGGATTCAGAAAGTGTTCATATAAATGAAGCCTGGACATTATTCCCTTTCTTAAAAAATAAATAAAAATAAACTTACGTGTAGTTGTTCCAACTGGTAAAATGAATAAAAGGAAAATTTAAGATAAGATAAGTAACTCAACCAATTTTGTTTCAGCTTAGAATTGTTCGACTGTTTTTATTTACATACGTATCTAGATTTATCTTATGGTTGTTCTAAACTAACGAGACCGCAGTTGAAATTTGACTCTCGAAATTGGGGATATTCAGAAATTACAATTACCTGTAGGAGATGTTCCTGCTTCAGTGGGCGATGTTCCTGCTTCAGTGGGTGATGTGCCGAACACACTTGTTTCTAAAATAAAAGTACGACCATAGAATCACAGAGCACAATTTGAGTTAATTCCTTGAAAGATTGTTCAAATTTATTTTCTTTGCTTATTTTCATCGTCAAATATATTAGTATCCTACCTTCGAAACATGCTCTTACATCAAGAGAGAAACTAGTTTCGGAATCGTTATTGGTTTGGGTTACTTCGACTCTGATTTTTGCAGCTTCCGTACCAGCAGGGAAGGTAGCTTTAGGAGTGGGTGCTGATAAATCAGTCTGTAAAAATAATAGAAATAATCAGTTCTTGTAAACAAAAAACTCTTAAGGAACAGAGTCTTAATAGCAAGCGTGTTTATACTTACTACAGTCAAATAAGTTGCTTCTGTTTCTGAACCACCAGTTGCAATTACAAATACCCTGATAGATCCTACATTCTGTGGTGATACAAGTTCCACTGATTTAATTTCTACCGTTTCATCAGTGATGGGTGCCAAATCGATTGTTACACTAATTGGCGAAGTTTGGGCAGGGAATGTAGCTGTGGTTGCAGTTCCTGGTCTAAGGTTTTCGGGATTGGAAACGCCTGGTGCTGTTATACTGGAAGTTGGAATAATAGCAGGGTCCTCCATACCTTTAACCTCGGCACAAACTGTAAATTAGAGCAAAACAACGGTTAATAAAATTGCAAATATTTTATAGTTATCAAATATGTTTGAAAGTTTTTATTTATATAGTCATTTATATACGCAGGTGATGTTCCGGGTGTTTTTGTAAAAACATATTCTATTGACAAATGTTAAAGGGATCACTTCAAAGATTTTGTTGGATTCAGATAGTGTTTATATTCTATTGACAAATCAAATGTTAAAGGGACCAGGCACCTATATACACAGGTGATGTTCTAGCAAGAATTATAATAAATTCATAAGTGATGATCAAGGCGATACACTTCAATTTTTGTTTGACTTTCGATAAAATCATATATAAATATTACCAGTTGATGTTATTCCTGTTGTTCCAGTTGTAACTGAAAAGTATAAAAATGATCAAAAATATAAGTGCAGTCCTAATTTTCTAATAGTAAAACAAAATATCTATTTACCATACGTAATCTTATTTAGCACATCCTGGTGCGTGAAAATGACATTACATAAACTGGATTGTACTCAGTACTGACTGACGTAATGGTAGAAGTATTATTACTTTAGGTCCCCTAAGTAACACTGACACGTTTCACTGAATTTTAAGGCAATATTTCATCTTTATTATTGATTACTTTTTCTCTTGGTCCGCCCATTTCTCGAAAGGCGTGGTTCCTCCTTGTCTGTGGTACAGGACGGAGTGTCTAGTCGTTCGAATGGGACGAAAATCGAGGGCCCGTGTAAACACTGACGTGCACGTAAAAGAACCGCCGATATTTGGAATTTAAAATAAGAGTAGATCCTAACACCGTAATCCGAGCAAATTCCCTCGTAGCGAACATTTCTACATTAGCCCAATTGGTGCAGAAGATTGAGGCGCCAAACCCCGTTTCATTTATAAAATCAACAGGACGTGGCGATAGGGTAGAGTGAGTGAAGTTTGCTATCGAAATAGAAAAATAAATATGATTGTCATGTGACACCCCACACTGATAAATGAAGGTAATGCAATACGTTTTTTTAAAAAAAAAAATATGATTAATATATATCCTAAAAGATACTGAACCATATGGAGAGAGAGAGAGAGAGAGAGAGGGAGAGAGAGAGCGAGAGAGAGAGAGAGAGAGAGAGCGAGAGGGGGGTGGGGGTGGAGCAAGTGTTTAATGTACACTCGACACAAACTAGGTAGTTTCATGACTCACATATGTGATATGGTTCATTTTTTTAATCCAGTAGGAGGAAACCGGGAGGGGGGGGGGGGGTCAACGATGCTGAAATGCTGAACAGGCAACCCTATTTCGTTTTACGTACAACAACGCTTCTTGACTCAATGAGAGACCTTATGATCTATGCCCATAAATGAAACAAATGTAACATAATATAGATGGTTGCTGAATAGTCCATTACCTTCGAAACAAGCATGGATACTGACATCAATTTCCATTGGTAATGAATTGTTTTCCGGTGTAAGTATTATAGTAATTGAGGTAACTTCCGTTCCGGGTGGGAATTGCAGAGAACCATCAGTAGAATCAGGCTAAAAACAAATTTCATTCCAGATGAGAAAGTATTAGCGATTTCATATATCAAGAATTCTTTGATTTATACAGTGTTGAATTGACTCGATCGGGTGTAATCTTTCATTAAATGATGGAATTGTGCTAAAAAATTACCCTCGAATAAGTTTTGAGACATTACATGTATAGGATTGAAGTGGAGTGCCACCAAAAGGGTGGTAATTCTTCGCAAATTTGTTTCTTCAACGCTATTTCAATCAATGTAGAACAAAAATATACTCAGTGCGGGTAGGGAAATGCCGCCGCCACGCCCCTACCCCATGTTAGTTGGAAACACTACCGAGAAGCAAAAATGTTTTACTCAAAAACAAAATAAAGCATGATTTAAACTACAAACTCACAATGCTTAGAACAATTTTGTGTTCAGCTGAACTAAGCCGATTTCGTTTTTTGTATTTGAAAATAAATGTAGTCAACAATGACAAAGCTTTAAATAAGAATCTGCGAAATAATTTGATTGAAATTCATGCAGCATTGCCGAACGAAATATTAAAAATGAAACACATGTAAGATAATTTTTCAATAAGAATAAACAAAATACATACATCCGTAGGTACCAGTGGCACATTTGTTTCTGTTGACGTGTTTCCAGTTACTGTGAATGATTTTACATTTTTGTATGTAGGTAATACTACTTCAGCCAGATCGACTGGGGTGTCTGCTAATTTTATAGTGATTTGGACTGGCGTAGTCGAAGCACCCAATACATATGGACTTCCGCCAGGTCTCAGATCTTCCGGATTATTTGAGGATGGAACTTCTATCGGTTGTTCAAGATATTCTGTTGGCAAGATTGAGGGATTGTCCATTCCCTCAGTCAGTATACAGCGAGCTGTAATATGAGTCATTAGCGGTATTAATGTAATCCTTAAGTCTACAATATCTTTATAATTTACATTTATTAAATGTATTTGGTTTGGTACAAAGAAATAATGTTCAGTCTCAAAGATTAGTTTACAGGACTTATTACAAGTCAAAGCATATTATTATCTTAGAATCTCTGTGGCAATGAAACCAAATATTTGAACTCGTGTGTACTTACGTGTTGTGCTTGGTGCTAATAGAAGAAGAAAAGATAATTACAACATTTTAATTTTAATTAGGTAAAAATAGAAATAAAATGTTGGGGTTCTTGATATAATAATTCAAAAATAGATATTTACAAATGAATATATTGACAATGTCAGTTCAATTAATTTATTCTGTAAGAAGTTAAGAGTGTTTGAGGTTTGGAGTTTATTATCGTGGCAATGGTAGGAATTCGGCTCATTACATTTCATGTTCAATTGGTCCATAGGGACGTCCGTTGACAGTTTTCTTTACAAGTATTCCTATTTTGACGGTAGCTGAATGCTATAATAGGAATGCCTTCTCTGTCCGTAACTACAAAAGAATTCAATGCATAAAAGCATAACCGATCCTCGATATTTGGTGACTGTGGCGCCATAGACTACTCTATGGCCCTAAAGGATATCTAATCAAATACTTTACTCACCCGTTGGTGATGTGCCAACTGGTCCAGCCGTTTCTGTTATAAATGCAATAATAATAATAATATTATACAAAAGTAAGAAAACACAAATAATCTGTATCAAATGTTTGAGTCTTTAAAATGTTTTGTATACTGAGTCAATTCTTAGAACTGTTAGAAGGGCCGGTAACTCTTAAATGGTTATATTTCGCTATTTTTGTACAGCATGCACAATTCCAGAGTGATGGCGTAAACGGAATATTGAAAAAAAATTGAACCATATAGTAGTCCCTAGTCTGTGTCAAGTGGATGTTAAACTCCATTTCTCTCTCTCTTTGTATTTTTTAATGATAGAAACGCCAATAAAACTTCATTTAAAGGGGCATCATGGGAGATTAGATAACGAGTTGACAGTTCTCGCTACAATAGTTAAAAAATAGATAACGTAAATAGAATATACTGAAAACTTCAGTCAAATTGCTCCACTCTGAACCGATATTTTAGCTTTTGAATTTTAGGCTAGACACGATCTTCATTATTAAAATCGGTACGATAACAAACACAGTTTCGATTATCCATTTTCATGTTTAATTATTTTTTAAAACTGCATTCCAAACCGCTAAATATCGTAGGCTAGCGATGAAATCGAGAGTTGATTATGTTCTGGGTAAGTTAATTAAAGTCCAATTAATAATTTAGATAACATTTTAGGCCTAAAGAAAGACCTGGTTCGATCTGGTTGTTGGTCGAGAAAGTTCATCTAGTCCCCCATGTCGGTAAAGCTAGCTAGACAAAGGGCCTTGCAAGGAAAAACTTATAACGAAGTCCCGCATACACATTGGCAGTTACCATTGGATGCCATACCCCGCTGTCCGGACAAAATAGCCCCAATACCATACTGTATGACCATGCCCGTCTCCATTTGTCTCCATCATTTAATAATACGACGACTATAAATCAATGTCAACTAAAGGTAGCAAATTTACGTTTTGTAATCCATGTTGCTGCGGCTTTAGTTTTTCATGGCATACTTTATTCTCTTAGTATGATTGTAATAGTAAATGCAGAAGGACGTCACTACACGTAAAACACAGACAAGACAAACCGGCGGACAAGACACATAAACACCTCAAGCAACGAAACAACATATTACGTACCTTCAAAACAAGCTCTGATATCGACGTCAAATGTTACACTATTATTCTCATTGACTGGAGTCACTGTTATGATGACGACTCGGGCTTCAGTTCCAAGTGGCAAATTCACAACGGGGTTCGACCCACCTAACTGAGACTTGATAAGAAGAAAAAAAGAGAAAAGATCAATTTAAAAAGGCTTTGGAAGTTGGTATAAAAATTAATTTTCTTCGCTTTGACATGTGTTCATCACACCGTAATATAGTGGATATTTTAGCTATGAACAATAAGATTTGCCATAAATGTTATACAGTGAATTTAGATGTCGCAGAATACTTTTAGTGATTTTCAAAAGATGGAACTCACATCATGGCTAAAATTAAAAAAATGTGATTTTAAGTTTGTGTTGAATAGAATATCATATATCATTCACCATAAATTGGAGTGATATTTCCTCTTTAAAGTACTAAAATTTGCATTGGTGTCCGTTTTGTGTTATCTTTCTGGGCGGCTGTAATTTCGGCTTTTCTTTCACATAATTTATTATAATTTTTTTTTCGGAAAGATCTCGGATGGGTTCTATTTTGGTGTGCATCGGAGCGTCACTTCTTGAGTCATGGTCCCTGCTTTTCACGCATAACTTACTGTGAAATATGTACGAAGATTGATGACGTTCCAGGAGTCACAATTTTTGGTCAGATTTAGATCAAACTCATAGTTACACTATGATTAATTTTTTCTAAACCATTTTCCAATTTATTTATTATACTTACATCTCCAAGTGGTGTTGGTGTTTGTTCAGCGCCAGTAGCATCTACAATCTTAACAACTATATTTTCAACATTAGAGGCATTGTTTAATCCAACAGATTTAACTTCAATAGCTTCATCATTGTTCGGCGACATATCAACAGTAATTACTATCGGTTGATTCCCTTGGAAAGTAGCAAGAGTTCCTCCAGGTCTTAGATCGTCAAGATTGGTTAATCCATCAGCTTTGATACTGCTAGTTGGTACATATAGAGGACTTTTCATACCCTCAAGTTCAGTACATACAGCTTAATAAAATATAAACACATGCAATTGTTTTAGATTCTTCAGATAAAACGTTACCCTATATTTATATTGTATAAATTCTTCTTACTGAATATCCTTGAATAGGGTGCGAGCAGTCTAATTGACATAACTAGACAATGATAAGGTCTGTCATTGAGTTAAGTCGCTTGGTTTCGACAGCCCGCGTATACGTGATGAAGAAGTACGAAGAAGTAGGGTCGCCTTTCCAACCATGTGAGCTTCTGTGCAAACCAATGTATTAAAATAAAATTGAACCGTATTTTAGGGGGCTTTTAACCCCGTTTCTCTGCAGTGGAGGAAATAACGTTTGCCAGAACAATGATTTGTTGATTTGTCTCCGAATTCCTAACTACCAGCTTTACGTGCACAGCTGCCGATAGTATTAGTCCTACTGGCGTTACCATAAAATGAAGACACTTTCTATTTTTATAGTAGCTAAAGTAAGCAAAACACCAAGTTGTTTCGTGTGGCGAAATATCTGATTTGATAATCAGTGGCCAGTCACATGAATATCCCAAAATGCGTGGCATCAGTGTTCTAGAAACGAGTAAGTCTATTGTGCCCCAAATACGATACCCGTCCCAATTATAAGTTTGGAACTGGTATCCACAGCTTCATGCTTTAATGTATAATAATATGATTTACCTGTAGGTGATGTGGGTGGTACTGGTTGAGTTGGACCAGTTGGACCAGTTGGGGATGTTATTCGTGGCGGTCCTGCTGTTTCTATTTAAAGAAGGATAATAGTACAGAAATGAGTTATAGTTTGTGTTGAATGTACATAAACCCCATCTTCTACAATGTTTCTAAATGCACCTAACATATTTTATTTGTCAATATTTTTTATTTAAAATGCTAAACACAAGTATAAGAGTACTGTTAATCGACGCAAGATTCCGTGATGCAATTGCTTGAATTTCGCAAGATTTGTGTTAAGACCAATAACCAAATTGAACTAATAAATTTACCTTCAAAACAGGCTCTGATATCGACGTCAAATGAGACAGTACTATTCTCATCGGCTGGGGTCACTGTTATGGTGACGATACTGGCTACTGTTCCAGCCGGGAAGTTCAGAACAGGATTTTCACCAGTTAAAACAGACTGAAAAGAAAAACAAACAAGGATGCAAATGTGCATGAAACAGACGACAATTTCCAATGGGTTCCTCAGTAAAAAACTACAAAACTTAGATGATCGTATTATTATACTATCAAACCGACCATATACACTTGCAATATTCGAATGTGACAAAATTACGAAATCCACCGTGTTCATGTAAAAGAACCCGTGGGAGCGAAGATTAGACTACGCGGTTAAAGTTTTCCTCTCTCGGATTGTACACATATAATATTAACAAATGTAATTTTCAAAATACCGCGAATTTAAACCCTCAACTATCTCTATGCCAACTTAGCGTTTAAGAGTCTACGATAAAAGGAGCAATAACTTGAAAACTCCCCAATATGCTCGACTCTGAATTTTAAGAGAGTGTTCTTGTTTATGAGTAGCCGAGCAATCACAGCCCGATGTTTTTTATTATCTCAAAAATTTGGCTTGTAAAGTGTTTACAAGTTTTCATGAATATGCTATAAAAAATAAACTCGCAAAATGTCGAAAGCGAGTCTAGAAGGATGTACCTAATATCTCAAAGATTCTTTATCTCAACTGCAGCTTATCCAAAAGAAAAACCTTGGATGCTGAACAAATTTATGACCCCGGAACGAAAAGTCCCAGAAAGCTTAATATTTGAAAGAAATCCGTTAAAAAATGTAGCCTCTATCGCCTCCACAGAGATTCATTCTCTCATGGCCCCAATGCTTCCCACCAAAATTTAAAAACATTGGTCAAATACTACAGTCTCTATCGGGTTCACAAGTGTTTCGGCAATGGGGCATAAGACCAGAAAGGTAAGGCGCGTAACACAGAATATCGACAGAGTTCGTCCTCTCATGACCACGATGCTTCACGCCAAATCTGTAAAGAATCCGTCAACAAATCGACGGACCAACAGACAGGGTGGCGGCATAATACGCCCACAACGAAATGTATGCTATACAAATCTTGGGAGTATAGCGGGTCAATGTTTTATTTCTAAACTATTTTCCAATTGATTTATTATACTTACATCTCCAAGAGGTGTTGGTGTTTGTTCAGCGCCAGCAGCATCTACAATCTTAACAACTATATTTCCAACATTAGAGGCATTGTTTAATCCAACAGATTTAACTTCAATAGCTTCATCATTGTTCGGCGACATATCAACAGTAATTACTATCGGTTGATTCCCTTGGAAAGTAGCAAGAGTTCCTCCAGGTCTTAGATCGTCAAGATTGGTTAATCCATCAGCTTTGATACTGCTAGTTGGTACATATAGAGGACTTTTCATACCCTCAAGTTCAGTACATACAGCTAAATAAAATATAAACACATGCAATTGTTTTAGATACTTCAGATAAAGCGTTAACCTATAGTTCATATTGTATAAATTCTTCTTACTGAATAGCCTTGAGTAGGGTGCTAGCAGTCTAATTGACATAACTAATATCTCTATCATTTTCTATGAATTTGACATTTACACTATAGCGGGCATAAGGTCTGTCATTGAGTCAAGTCGCTTGGTTTCGACAGCCCGCGTATACGTGACGAAGAAGTGCGAAGAAGTAGGGTCGCCTTTCCAGCCTCGTGATTTTCTGCGCACACCAATGTATTGAAATCAAATTAAACCGTATTTTAGTGGACGTTAAACCCCGTTTCTCTGCGGTGAAGGAAATAACGTTTGCCAGAACATTGATTTGTTGATTTGTTTCCGATTCCCTAACTGCCAGCTTTACGTGCACAGCTGCCGATGGTATTAGTCCTTCTGGCGTTACCATAAAATGAAGACACTCTCTATTTTTATAGTAGCTAAAGTAAGCGAAACACCAAGTTGTTTCTTGTGACGAAATATCTGATTTGATGGACTTAATATAATCAGTGGCCAGTCACGTGAATACCACAAAATGCGTGGCATCAGTGTTCTAGAACAAGTAAGTCTACTGTGCCCCAAATACGATACCCGTCCTATTTATAAGTTTGGAACTGGTATCCACAGCTTCATGCTTTAATGTATAATAATATGATTTACCTGTAGGTGATGTGGGTGGTACTGGTTGAGTTGGCCCAGTTGGAGCAGTTGGGGATTCTCGTTGAGGTGGAACAGTTGCGGACGTTATTCGTGGCGGGCCTGCTGTTTCTATTTATAGAAGGATAATAGTACAGAAATGAGTTATAGTTTGTGTTGAATACTACAATGTTTCTAAATGCATCTAACATATTTTATTTGTCAATATTTTGTATTTAAAATGTTAAACACAAGTATAAGAGTACTGGTAAGCGACCCAAGAATCCATGATGCAATTGTTTGAATTTCGCAAGAGTTTTGTTAAAACCAATTACCAAATTGAACTAATAAATTTACCTTCAAAACAGGCTCTGATATCGACGTCAAATGAGACAGTATTATTCTCATCGCTTGGTGTCACTGTTATGTTGACGATCCTGGCTACTGTTCCGGCCGGGAAGTTCAGAACAGGATTTTCACCAGTTAAAACAGACTGAAAAGAAAAAAACGAACCAGGATGCAAATGTGTATAAAACAGACGACAATATCCAATGGGTTCCTCAGTAAAAATCTTCAAAACTTAGATGACCGTATGCACTTGCAATATTCGAATGTGACAAAATTACGATATCCACCCATGTTCATGTAAAAGAACCCGTGGGAGCGAAGATTAGACTACGCGGTTAAAGTTTTCCTCTCTCGGATTGTACACATATAATATTAACAAATGTAATTTTCAAAATGCCGTGATTTTAAACCCTCAACTTGAATACTCCCTAATATGCTCGACTCTGAATTTTAAGAGAGGGTTCTTGTTTATAAGTAGCCGAGCAATCACAGCCCGTTTTTTATAATCTCAAAAATTTGGCCTGTAGATTGTTTACAAAATTTTATGAATAGGCTATATAATAACCTCGTAAAATGTTGAAAGCGAGTTTAGAAGGGTGTACCTAAAATCTCAAAGATTCTTTATCTCAACTGCAGCTTATCCAAAAGAAAAACCTTGGATTCTGAACAAGCTTAATATTTGAAAGAAATCCGTTAAAAAATGTAGCCTCTATCTTCTCCACAAAGATTCATCCTCTCATGACCCAAATGCTTCCCACCAAAATTTAAAAACATTGGTCAAAAACTACAGCCTCTATCGGGTTCACAAGTGTTTCGGTAAAGGGGCATAAGCCCAGAAAGGAAATTCGCGTAACACCGAAAATAGACAGGGTTCGTCCTCTCTTGACCACGATGCTTCACGCCAAATCTGTAAAGAATCCGTCAACAAATCGACGGACCAACAGACAGGGTGGCGGTATAATACGCCCACAATGAAATGTATGCTATAAAAATCTTGATAGTATAGCGGGTCAATGTTTTATTTCTAAACTATTTTCCAATTGATTTATTATACTTACATCTCCAAGGGGTGTTGGTGTTTGTTCAGCGCCAGTAGCATCTACAATCTTAACAACTATATTTCCAACATTAGAGGCATTGTTTAATCCAACAGATTTAACTTCAATAGCTTCATCATTGTTCGGCGACATATCAACAGTAATTACTATCGGTTGATTCCCTTGGAAAGTAGCAAGAGTTCCTCCAGGTCTTAGATCGTCAAGATTGTTTAATCCATCAGCCGTAATACTGCTAGTTGGTACGTACAAAGGATCTGCCATGCCTTCTATGTCAGTACATACAGCTATATAAAAAAAACCCAGAAAACTGTTTTATTCGTACTATAATTCAATACTTATAATTATCTAAATATAATACTTTTCCCTATATAAAAAATTACCATATTATTCTCAGTTTAATTAAAATATTCGTACACAAATTCTTATACATTCATTAGAAACGAAATGCCTTCAGATTATTTGAAATACACTAAACATTCCATTTTAATATATGTACGGGTCTTTGTGGTTATGTCTGTATAAATGTTTGAGTTTATTTCTTATCATCTTCAATAGTAGGCTTGATCTGGCTTTAACTCAGTACATCTTATCAAGGCCTTCACGTAATACCCTGCATATTTAGGCACTAATTTCGATTGGGTATTCACCCAGCTTGAGAGCCTATCATATTCATCGATCATCGCGAATACCAAGTCTCGCGCTTTCCTGCTAAATATCTACTACCTGTGATAATCGAGTTGCTATGTCAAGGTTTCCGTTGAGGTTGAAATAGTTGAGCGTGTTTGTGTCAAAACCCCTGATTGGACGCTACTATTCACGTGTGTGCAGTAAATGGAGATAACGTAGCTATAGGTTCGGGAATTGTAAAGCAATCTATCAACGTCCAGATGTTGTAAACTGGTAACTCACAGTCGTTGCTTCAGGAACATGATTTCCTATGTACTGTAACACATGTTTATGGATGTACAGTAGTGGGGCAATTATTTATAGACAAGCAATAACAAAAAATCAGAAACCATACATAATAACAACAAGATCAAAGGCGAGATACATATATTAACTTACGTGATGTAGCCGGTCCAGTTGGTGATGTACCTGGTCCAGTTGGTGACGTAGCTGCAGGTCCAGCCGTTTCTGTTGAATAAATGGAGTTTTGGGTTAGAGAGGACTATACATTTTATTTTAACGGGTTAGAATCAGAAAGTAGGTAAAAAACACAATATTCTGTATTTTTCACATACTTTGCAAGAGGTAACGCCGATAAGATTAGCAAGGCACTTGTGACTAGTATAAACTCTGAAGTGGTTTCATGTTTACCAACTCTTGGCGTTTCTGATTCAAAGAAAAGTAAACAAAGATGTGCTATAAAATTTTATTCTTACCTTCAAAGCAGGCTCTAATATCCACATCAAACTCTACTTCAAGGGAACTGTTATTTGGTGACACTGTTATGATAAGTACCTTGGCTACAGTACCAGCTTCGAAGTAAACGACCGGGCTTTTTCCAGTATTGATTGACTAAAATATAAAAATACGGGGATAGGGCATAATAAAAAAAAATTTAACAACACAAAATAAAATACACATGTAAATTGCGATTCGTTTTTTATACTTTTGGTGAGTTCAGCTACTCGTACATAACCGGCTCGCTCGTTGTTAATAGTCGCAACGTTTGAATACGTTGCAAAACTACTCTGGCACGATCCTTGTGGGATCGGAAAGAGGGTGGTGTCATAACTAGGAAGAGGATTCTGCCACGGATCTTCCAATACATGCATATAACATATTTGCCTTGATCGAAATACAACAAATTTTCTTATTAATTGATCTTAAAGGGCAACGTAGAATAATAAACTAATGAAATAGGACATTGACTTTACAACCGGGACCTGCCAAACGAAACCCACCCCTACTATATGACGCTTACACAATTTTCTATACTTACATCGCCGACTGGTGTTGGTTCTGATGTTGTGTCGTTGGCATCAATGATCTGAACAGTGAAAGAGGCTACATTAGATGCATTTGTTAATCGTACTGATCCAACCTCAATGACATCTTCACTGTTTGGTGACAGATCCACGGTTATTTCAATGGGTTTATTTCCAGGGAATGTAGCTACAGGACCTTCTGGTCTCAGATCGTCAATATTTGATACGCCGACAGCGGCTATACTTCCAACTGGTACAAGAAGTGGGTCGCTCATACCCTCAACTTTAGCACAAACAGCTGCAAATAATAAAAAATGTGATTGTGAGTATTATATTAAAAAAAAGAAACATCAAGACCGTGGTATGATCATGTTTTAAATAAAAAGCGCGTTTATGTCATGATCGACTACAAATTATGGGTACATGTACTGTGCCAGTGTTGATAAAGAACGATGTCTTTAAAATAAATGAAATTTGATTAGGAGAAAGAATTAAAAACACCCAATCTTACAAGATAATGATTGATATCAAGGTATTACAGTTAAAAACATAGAAAAAACGCTCAGTGGTGGTTTTGTGAAAGGATGATGCAAAAAAAAACACGCATACAATCGACTCACAAACTTCGATATAATTCTCCTGGCTAGCGAATCAATCTTGGTTGGTTTGTTAAACAAAGTGTCAAAAACTCTGACCTTAACCACGTTTACAATACGGTTCGGTGATAGGGACAATACATTAAATTCGAGTTATATCAATGCACGGCTCTGAATTTCGACCGTATATTACAAGATTATCACTGTGAGTTTGAAAACTCTGTAGAGCGTTGTCTTATCATAAATCGAACAATCCCAGCTAGCTTGAAAAAATCCCTAAACAGTAAAAGTGTATTTTAATAACTATTTTAGACGGCCTAGCGATAAGTTGAACTCCAAACAAATAATCTAACTAGCTTGGTCTGCAATTCACATCGTGTGTGCTGAAAAATGTGTTATACATGTAGCTCTAGAATTGTAATTTGTAGAGCAATTGGGACCGTTTTGTATCTTCTGTAAAGACCGAGAGGTTTAACGTCCACGCGACACAAACTAGGTCATTTCGGGACTAACATATGGTTCAATTTTTATTTCAATAATTCGCTTGCGCGTAGGGGTCTTTAGCAGTGAGGGGAAACCGGAGGACCCGGAGAAAACCTACGAGGTTATTAAATACAAACACTCACCAGGTGTTGATGGTACCGGGGTTGTTGAACCTGTTTATAAGAAACCAGAACATAACATATAAATAAAAGAAATATTATAATCATCAGAACAAAAACATATTACCCAAACGGTTAAAAGTCATTTCATTTCACAAATATTTGTTAAAAGTCATTTCATTTCACAAATATTTGAAAAAAGTACTTACAGCTCATCTCGTCTTCGCCTCCCGAGCAATCCACATTTCCATCACATAATTCACTAATGTCGATGCAAGTCATGTCACTGTTACAGTAGAATTGTGTGTCGGAACATGGTTTGGTTGTAGCTGTAAGAAACAGGGATATTTAATGCTGCTGTCTTTTGGAATTTATCTTATTAATTAACTCAAATCGAGTTCTTAAATTATTACCGTTTATTTCATTGTATTCTAAAATATTTTGGGGCTGAGATTGACATACTTTATCTTTTCTATTATGATTTGGGATAAATTATTTTACTTTTGCGACATACGTTTGTCTCTTTATTAAATAAACTAAAATTACCTTCAGTTGTTGTGGCTTCGGTACTAGTTGATGTGGTAGTGACTAAAATATAGTAATAATATATTGGACATGATATAGGAAATGATTGTCTGGTTAGGAAGATACGCATTATGCATTACAAGCAGTAGGAATAAAAAGAAAATTTCTATTGGCAAAACATTTAATAAATTTCGCTGTGGTGTGCTCACGGATGAACATCACTTCGATTTAGGTTTCCATTATGTCTAGTATGAACTGAGTATAGGTAGGATGTGTACACAACACGTAGTATGTCTGGAACCACGGTGGCTCGACCAAAAATACAAAATGTTTACATACCACAGGTTGGCAATGTTTCATCTTCACATTCAGTTGAAGATGGAATTTGACAGTCACATACACCATCGCATGTTTGATTCATCATAATACAGATTTGAACACTGTTACAGTAATACTGAGTTGATGAACAGGGTTCTGTTGTTGAAACGGTTGAAACGACGGTGGAAGTAATACCTAAAAAATATCAAATTCCAAGATAATATAACTATTCAGACAACAGTACCTCTAATAGTAACATACATTTTGCTTTAATTCTGTGAATATTCATCAATCCTTGAAGAACAATGCATTTTTGTAGTGTAACGAAGAGGTCAGCATCCATGATTCGCTATTTGTACTTATTCTAAATCTAATTTGCCCCTTTTCCGTCAATATTATTTAAAAGAGTTTTAAAATTCAGAAGTTTCATAATATTAAAATATTATGAAACTTCTGAATTTTAAAACTCTTTTAAATCTTAAAAATTCAGAAGTTTCATAATATTAAAATATTATGAAACTTCTGAATTTTAAAACTCTTTTAAATCCAATCCAGTTGCATAAAAACTTCGGCGTTGAATGATGCTACATAGTTGAATTTTCTTGTATAAATCAATAAATATATTGGCTTACCAGTTGTAGTTTCTGTACCGCCAGTTGTTGTTTCCATTGGAGTGGTGCTTGGCGTTGGCAGGGTTGTAACTGTAAATTGTTTATTATTTATTAATCATTTATTAATTACACTTTTAACTATTTTAATATCTTTATATTTAGTAAGGTTTCGTGCTAAGATAGATATTTTATTAAAGTGTCTATCAAAAAATAATTATTTAAATTCATCACACCCTTATTATTTATTATTTATTATTTTTCAATATTATAATATAAGTTGTTTCGTGTTAAGATAGATGTGTTTTTAAACATCGACAATTCAAGATTGAAAGTGCCTATCGAAACCTATCAAAAATAATTATTTAAATTATACCCCATTATTACTTATTAATTACACTTTTAAGTATCTTAAAGATACATTATGGGAGATTAGATAAAGAGCTGGTAGTTCTCACTATATAATGTAAATGGAATTTGCTGAAAATTGCAGTCAAATTGATCCACCCTGAACCGAGTATTTAGCGATTGCATTTTGGGCCTAGCCTCGATCATCATTACTAAAGTCGGTACGATTAATAAACATAGTCTCAAGTATCCATTTTTTTGGATTTAATCAGAAGCAACAGACCGGTTTCTAATCCAGTAAATATAGCATGCTAGCGGTGCCATCAAGAGTTGATTATGGTCTTGATAAGTTAATTAATGTCTAATTAATAATTAAGATAACATTTCAGGCCTAAAGAAAGACCTGCAATTGACAAATTTAGCTCTTGCATTATGTATGTTTAATATACTGACATTTAATTAACTTTCAAAATTGAAAGTGTCTATCAAAAATAATCATTTAAATTACACTCACGTCCTTCATAACAGGCGACCAATGAAAGATCCCAAACACTGATACTGGTTGCGTTCGATTCCGGTGTAATGTAGATCACAATCCTGGAAACATCCATACCACTAGGTGTGCTGTATGTGGTGATGAAATCTTTTCCAGGGTTTGGTTCACGGGATTGCTGAAATAAACATTTACAATTTTTATTGATTCATGGTCATTTATTGCATTTGACGAAATTACAATCAAAGTTAATTGTTATGAATTCGATATAAGCGTAGTACGTGGCACCGCTGTCCGGGCAAAATGTCTCCAATAGCACAATGATGGTGTATGCCCCTCGTTATTATCCCAATCGGAGAAGAACAGTAGGACGTTAAACCCCATTTCATTCCATTCTCATTTCGTTCTCGTGTAATTACGAAAATCTAATTAGTCAACGTAACCATCATGACGAATGGTCTGACTTATACGAAAAATATAGCAGAAATATTATTACTAAGACAGATAAAAATGACGATTAAAATAAATAGAAACCAATGTCAACTAAACATAACCATAACTTAGGTTAGAGGTGATTATGTTCAATAAGGTCTTGAACAAAAGGATTTTTTTATTAACAGTAATTTGTGTACGGTTTCTTAAACTGTATTTTTTCCTCATAATGAGACTTTTATCACATGTATACGATAACAATTATGGAAGACAAATGGGACAATATTCATGATTCCTGTTTCTACATTCCAGTTTGAATATTTTAGACACGAACGCAACGTTCTAAACTAATGATTCTTGTTTCTACATTCTTATGTCAACATTTCATGCACAAAATCAACTTTTTAAACAAAAAATTGACTTTATGTTTCATTTTCGGCGTTTTATCGGTAACTTTTATATATCATTAAATATTAAAATTAAAAAATAATTTCTTAATTTTACACGACAAAGAAATCAATTCATTGGTTTCTGAAAGTATCTAAAAAAAAATCTTGAATTTGAACTCTTGTGAAAATATTTTCTACGTTTCAAAAAGTCTTGAAGTTAAAATCTTGAAATGAAAATGTCCAGAAAAATATAATGAATTATCAACATTATTACACCAGAGGGCGTTAGCGTATGTGTACAACTTTGAAACAGACTATAGATTAGAAATCAAAAGTAGACTTTTCCACGAGTGGAAGTGGGTCCCTGTTGTGTTTAGAGTGAATTAGTTGCATGAAATAGAAATTAAGCTCGAGATATAATAACAATACAAATAACTTTAAACAGCTAGAAAAATTAGGACAAATTCCAGATTTTTTTTAGATACTTTCAGAAACCAATGAATTGACTTCTTTGTCGTGTAAAATTAAGAAATTATTTTTTAATTTTAATATTTAATGATAGATAAAAGTTACCGATAAAACGCCGAAAATGAAACATAAAGTCAATATTTTGTTTAAAATGTTGATTTTGTGTATGAAATGTTGACATAAGAATGTAGAAACAAGAATCATTAGTTTAGAACGTTGCGTTCGTGTCTAAAATGTTCAAACTGGAATGTAGAGACAAGAATCATGAATATTGTCCCATTTGGTCTTCCATAAACAATACAATAATAGTCGGGTAAATTAAAATATATCTTACTGGTTTTATAAATGAGCCAGCGGTGATAGTGTATTCGATGGTCACACTAGCAGCATTTCGGATGGATACTCTAACTTCGTAAACAGTCCAGAGGGTTTCCGGTGGAACGGCGAGCTCAATCTGTAGGGTTATGACTGACTGAGCTGTCACACCAACGGTTGGATTCCAAACGGTGGATGTGTTTGAACCACTGGGTTTGAGAGCTTGGGTGACGGAGGGCTGTGAGGTACTGTTGATTCGTCCGACCAATAATAAATCAGGTGTGGAAGCATCAAGATTTATCTTGTCACATACTTTGGCTAAAAAAAAGAGAAAAAGTTAACATGAATAGTTGATGAAATGGGGGAGGGGGATATTTTCATTCACACTTACTAAAAAGACCTCTACATAATGTAGGGCACAGAAACAACCAACATGATATCTAAACGCCAATATCCTCCCTAGATAAAAATAGGCTTTTATTCGTGTTCAATAACAATAAAAATTGCCGAGAAATGTAGTTATCTACTCTATACAGATGATTTGTATATAACATAGTCGTTTGAGGTCACGTGTACACTTTGGCGTGTACCTAAAAGAACCCTTGATAGTTGGAATTGGAAATAAAAGTAGACCGTAATGCCGGTGTCCAGGCAAAATTGGGCTACTATATATTATCTTAGTTCACTCCCATTGGTGCTGCTGACAAGGCCAGATCCCTTGGCAGTTGGAATTCGATATAAAAGTAGGCCGTAGTGCCGCTGTCCGGGCTAAATTTCCCTCATAGCACACTGCATGGCGTATGCCCGCCTTCATTGGCATAGCCGGTACAGAAGAGTAGGATGTAAACACCCATTTCATTTTGTATACAATATACTTACTTGTTGTCATGCCCGTTGGTGTTGCTGAAAAGTTAAATGATATATGAAATTAATAAAACTGAATACAATGTCGATATTATTATAATATTTAGAATAGGTCGTATTTCCCTAGAGCAATGAAACCGATATAAATATTTCTGAAATTTTATGTCAGGAATTTTTGATTTTGATACTTTGTTCACATAACGCACGACCGGTTAGATTTTACAGTTCTATCTCCTTTCTTAAGTCAATTTTGATATTTTGTTCACTTAACCACGAACAGTGACATTTTACAGTTCTATCACCTCCCATATAATAAAATAAGAACTCGAAGCAGTGGGGCTGTTAATATAGACAGCTTCTTGTATGCCATTGGAAGATCCATTAAATATGTTTTTCCCGAAACAGGTTAAGAGATTGCTATTCGGAAAGTGACTTACTGCATCCGATTTCGTCTGTACCATCCCCACAGTCGTCATGTCCATCACATAAAAGTCTGTTGGCAATACACATTAAAGGTGTGGCTGAGCACATAACTTCACCTTCATTACATTCTGTTCAAAATAAAAATAAAACTTGAAGGTAAAACATACACAAGCTTGAAATGCTCTACTGAGTTTATATTACGATTAAATATAACATCGGATAGGTGGTATAATCTTCATTATTCCAGCTGACCATATACTTGTGACTTTATCTAGTATATATTATTTGAAGTTTTGTATGTGATGCTCTCAAAACATTTTATTAAAATACAATTTTGTCAATTGGTTATATTTTTAAGATACTTACGTTGACAATTTTGTTCATCTGAAAAATCGCCACAATCATTAGCAGCGTCACAATTAAAGGCCTTTGGAATACATTTTCCATTGGTACAGGTAAATTCGGAACCGGAACAGGTGCGAGTTTGAGCTGAAATTACAAAAATAATTGGTCACTTATAGATAATATACTCCTACTGGCTATTTATGTAACAATAGCGATTTATTAACTCATACATCCCTTCTTACTTTTGCGTTAGCTATCCTGGCAAATATTAGAAAATATATTTATATTTTATGTATATACGTACCACAATTGTATTCGTCACTTCCGTCCTCGCAATTGCTGATACCATTACAAGTATTATTTTGAGGTATACACTGGCCATTGACGTAACACTCAAATTCGTCGGTAGAGCATTCTTTGACTATAAAATAAAAGGAAATAATCCATGTTGATTTTGTTTATTTGAACGAACGAGTCATACATGCGGGATAATCAAAATATCGTTGATTTAGCATTAACTTGGGAAAAGATACAGACCATGTGCACTAGACAGAATGTGCTGCACTTTGAGAATCTTTGCTACAACAATTGTTTTATGACTTAACAGACTTGTGAACGTTTGGTATAAAGGATTAATCATATTTTATGTAAAAAATCCATATAAACAAGTCATTTAAGAAACTCTACTTAACCCTAATCGAGTCTGATACCTATCCCAGACTAATCTTTAAAAAATGAGGACAAAACGTACCACAATCAACTTCATCTGATCTGTCATTACAATTTGGGATACCATTACATAGAAGGGTTTTGGATACACAGTATCCATCCTGTTGACACTTGAATTCATCTCCTGTACATTCACGGGTACAGTTTGCTCCATCACAACTGAACGTACTACCAACACAGGTACTGTAAAAAAAAAGCAGAAATTCGTGGGATTTAGTATCAGACAACAATTCGATTTAGAGAGAATATGTATAATTACAATTGGACGTTGCCGTACAGTTTTCTCTATCACTATTCAATTAAATTTTCGGACGAAACATTAGGATTGAAATTGGCCATGAAATGTTCCTTCTTAATATTGATTTATAATTAAAATACAAACATGCTTTAAATTGTTTCGTAACCCAGCTAACTTTCTATTTAGCGTGAAGTATGTTTTGTTTGTTATGTCTGTATTTTCCTAGACAGTATTTATACAGATAATCGTATAGTTATATCTGAATACCCAGAGAGCGTCGATCAATGAATTAAATAAAGATTGGAAATTATCGGTTTGACGTCTCCTCCAGTATTTCCGGGTGATGTTGAAAAAAAGTGTAAAGTATTACTGTTAATACAACAGACGATATTAGCCATTTTGTTCTCTTATTTGTATCAAATCTGAGATAGATTGATATTTACCATTTCATGCAATCCTGTGTGATTACGTCACCATTGTTATATGTTACTCCCTGGTATGTACATGGGCATTCGGTTTGTGGAATACATTTAACTTCACTTCCAGCTGTTAATAAAGAAGAAATATGTAAAGAGAAAGTATTAATGGAAGTTTTAATATGTATGAAAGAATCTCCGAAAAAATAATAATGAAGGGTTAGTATAGTTGATTGATTTTGCTTCCGGTTTATCTGATAAAATATTTAAATTTTAATCGATATTAACAAATTATTTATAAATATATTTAATTCTTACATAATGGAATGTGTAAATGTCAAATATATAAAATATATATATATATATATATATATATATATATATATAAAATTTAGCTTGGTCAAAGAGGATAATACATGATAAAATTATCTTGATTTCAAAAATACAATCAATATTGTTTGGAATCATTTAGAATAATAATATTGGTTTCGGATGCATTTATAACAATATTGCTTTAGAAAGAATTTATAATAATTTTCCTTTATGAAGCATTTATAATCATATTACTTTATGAAGCATTTATTATAATATTGCTTTAGAGTGAGTTAATAATAATATTGCATTAGGATAATAATATTGTTAGTAAGCAATTATAATAATATTGCTTTAGGAAGAATTTATAATAATCTTGTTTAGGACGAATTTATAATAATATTGCATTAGGAAGAATTTATAATACTATTACTTTAAGTTGAAGCATCTATAATAATCTTGCTTTATGAAGCATTTATAATAATCTTGTTTTATGAAGCATTTATAATAATCTTGCTTTATAAAGTATTAATTATAATCTTGCTTTTGGATGCATTTATAATAATATTCATTTAGGATGCATTTATTATAATGTTTCTTTATGATGCATTCATAATAATAATATTTCAGATGCGTTTATAATAATATTGTTTTAGAATTTATTTATAATGATATTGCTTTTTAGATGCAATCAAAGCGTAATCTTACCTTGCATGACGTAGTCGGTGGGACAGAAACAACCTTCAACACATGTTGTCTGTACACAGAACGATCCATACTTGGTACCGTAAGGATCCATACATGTTTTTGGGCATGCGGAGCCACATGGTTTGTACACACTGCCGTACTCACACTGAATTGCTGTAATAAAAATATAAGTTAAGTTAAACGGGGAGCATGAAAGTCAATAAAATAAATTGTATTTGGGGTGAAATCTGTTATTGAGACATAAATTGGAGAATACATTGTGCAAGTTATATCTTGTTTGGCATCGATATTAACGAATAAAATAATATGTTTCAAAGCATTACAAGCAAAATAATTGTGGGGGTTTCAATTAACTAACTTATTTTAAAATGGATTTGTTTGTATAAATATTTGAAGGAAATTTTTTTGTCGTCGTATGAATATGTTTTGGTGCATGGTCTGAAGTTTTGCAGTGTATTCTGGACTACTTACGACATAGACGTTGATGTCTCCATCTGGCTGGTTGACCAGCACGGTTACAGGCTTCAGCAAAGTTACTTATGGCTGTACACAAACACTCACAATCACCACCTCGGTCACATCTGTTTGACACAATAATAAACGATATATTAGTAAAGATATATTATATCTAAATCTAAATATTTGAAAGAAAGACGGCACGCGGTCTAAATCTGTTTCCCTTAATCGTCGAACAGATGATTGCATATAATTACAACTCATCGCATTAGATTTTCGCCACTTAAACAATGAAATATCAAATGAAATCAAATCAAATTTGGTTTAACATCCTACTGTTCTGCTCCGGCTGGGCTAATGAAGACGGGCATACGCCATACGGTGTGCTATGAGGGAAATTTTTCCCGGACAGTGGCGTTAAGACTTATCTTATATCGCATTCCAACTGCCGGGGGATCTTTTACGTGCACGCCAATGAGTACAAGGGACCTCGGTTTTTTGTACCATCCGATCGACTAGACCCCTGTCCTGGTCAGGCCCGCTGTCCTGCACAACAGAACAGGAGCATCATACATAATTTAGTAATTCCATGTATGTACTTACCCACAGGCATCATACAAACAATCGGTATAATATTTGTTGACTTCATCATTTAAGACATTTCGGCAATTCTCAAAGACCAGACCGGTAAGAATAACTTCACATTGGTTCTTAGCCCAAGTTGTTCGTGGACTAGGTACGTTATCAACAGTCTAAAATAAAAATAAAATAGTCGGTTAGTTAGGTTTTTTTCGGGTTCAAGTGTGTGCGTTATTGAGTCTAAGTATAATAAACTTTGTCGTGGAAAATCTATGAAATAATTGCGCGAAACCGTGGCACTGGGGTTTCAGAAAACGGATGGATTCTACAAAAGGAAGCTAGAGGCTATCCGTATTCTGTATCATTCTCGTTCTATCTTCTTGTGTCATTTTGGTTTCGATCTTTGTTTGATCTCTAGAAGAGACAATCTTTGAATATTGGTTTAAACATACCATGCAGGCTTCTTGTAATTGTGGTGCTTCAGTAACATCTCCACAACTTCCGGCCTTCCATGAGTTTCCAAATTCAACTTCATTTGCTGCAAGCGTTCCAGTTTCAGTGGTAAAATCATTGTCAATATTACCATCAAAGTTACCACAAAGACCCTTAACTTTACCCTTCCATGCACTGGTCAAGGTTACGGCGAATCTGGTTCCTGTTTAAATACAAACAATTTGAATAGTTAGGGATGAGGAACTATAGTACGACAAACATATCATACTTAACATAAATATTCATTTATAACTCTAATTGAAAGACCGTTGAATTATTTAAAAATTATTTTGTTATAATATCATACGTATCATAAATATTCATTTATAACTGTGTTTAGTTGAAAGACCGTTGAATTATATAAAATTATTTTGTTGCAATATCATATGTATGACAAAAATCAATTTATAACTTTATTTAGTTGAAAAATCTTTGAATTATGTTCAAACAATTTGTTGAATTGTAATATCATACTTATCATAAATTTCCATTTATAAATCTATTCAGCTGAAAGACCGGTGAATATTCATTGTAGGGATAGTTTTTGATGACAGGTTTTCTATCTGACTACACTGTTAAAAAAACTTCAAATAAGTGGTAAATACAAACATGTAAGAGTGTAAAAATACATACCTCCGTCCCACATAGCAGTGACACCTTCAAAATCAACAAATGTGAAGAGACCAGCGTTGTAGATAGTAATAATAGAAAATTGCTGGAATCCCATGGCTGGTGTGTATGGTGTTGTTCCAATCTTTATATCTTCACCACGTGTCATTGTAATCAATGTGTCATTCACGTTAATTGTGATAGCTTTAGTACATGACACTCCAGTGGAACCACAGACAACATTTTCAACTTTGATATCAAATTGAACAGGAACAGGTGATTCGGTGGTAGTTTTAACGAAGTTGTAAGTACAATCTCCTTGGTATTTGAATGTTTTGCCATCAAAAGTGGAGTAATGGGGATCTCCAGATGCCCAACAAGTTGCTGTAAGTTCAAAATGGATTAACAAGTTAAACTTTGCTAGTTCAATTCTTTGAGTTAATAGTTGCAGTAATACTAATGACATGTATGTTTTAAAATATAAAAAAAAACAAAAAACACAATCGTTGCTTTTAAAAGCCCCCTTCACTTTGTTTGTGATAACGATACTCTAAACGATATAAGTTTTACTTTGCAACGTTTGGGTTTATTTTCATAATAAATTAACTATAAACAGCTGAAAGATATAACGCTTATAAATTTTAACGACATTTCCTTAATCTACAAGTGAGAAATATATTGGTCACAAAGTTATCTCTGCACTGCTTTCTAAACCACATGAAACCCTCAACCCAATCTGATGTAACAAGTCCATGGTGTTAGAAAATATTAAAAAATGATTCAACACATACATGAACATTCTTGTACAGCCGTCTGACTCCAAACACCGTTGTTACATTGTCTGAAGAAAATCGGAAAAGAATGATTAGAAAAATGATTTTTATCAGAAACATCCTAAATTTGGGTTAATATATTTGTAAAATATATAAATCTGCGAATGCCATGATTTTCATGACATAATCATATATTGTAAAACGTATGGAACCAAATTGTTATCTTTCGATACACTGCAAAGGAAACGTGTTTAATGGTAAGTGCAGGGAGACCACACAACACCCAAACAAATCCGATAGGACAAGCCTGGATAAGCCACACTATACAGACATTGCATGGCATAAACAACAACTTTCAGATCAAACGAATGGATCCTGGAGCAAACTGTAAGCTTCCTACAAATTTAAACGTGACGACGATTGTCGTTTGAACTTCCAGACGTTGTCTAGTAATACGAGAGTCTATTCGGATCCGTGATTAACAAACTATAATAATGTTACAACTTTTAAATTCATTATGGTCCTTTGTGGAAATTACATGGATAAATCTTGATTTGTTTTGTAGTCATTTCATTTAAACGGGACTCAGTATACATCATTCAGTATACATCGATATGGTTAAATAGCTTTTCTAATGCAAATACCAATAAAACACTAGAATGAAATGAAATGGACGTTACGAATTATACCTGTCGCTCTCGGGTAGTGTATATTCATATAGGTACTTACAGTGTCTTGCAGTTATAATCAATAGCTCTGTTATGTTCATACCAGTTACCCATATGATAACAGGGACATGTTTCAGGGGCTATACATTTTCCTTCCTGTAAAGTAGTAAATATGAATACAAAAAAATAGTCGCAGTTAGATGAAATACGGTAGTTTCGTGTGGTTGTAGTTTACTACCAAATGGGTACGACACAATAAAATATAACAACATCCGAACTAATGCTATCGATTCCGGCAGGCATTGGGTCCATAATCTAATTTTTGGAAATCATACTCTCTAATTTTTGTTTTAATTTATTTAATAATCATGCAAAAAGAACAATTCGTTCTTTATTTATAAGACCAATTAAAATGTTACCGTTTAGTTTAATTTTACAAAATTTATTATTTAAACTTTATGGAAATGTTAAATGATTTACCAAATTTTCCCATTGTCCAACGGGACAAAAGCATCGTCTTGATGTTAGAGATGTCTGCTCGGCACATGTAGAATTAGCTTCAAATTTGTTTGGACATCGTGGTCTGCATTCAGTTGGGGTAGCATCTACTTTTTCCAAACCAGAAGAACATATTACATCTGTACATTGAGAGTCGACGCATGATAAAGTTGCGTTGGAACAGGTACTAATAGGAGAGAAAGAACAAAAAAATGATATAACATTTATGAAATATTGTGTGGGTAGATGATTTTAAACTTATAGTCAAACGATACGATGTAGTGTGGAATATTGGGTGGGTAGATGATTTCAAAACATTAGTACAACGGTAAGATGCAACGTGAAATATTGGGTGGGTAGATGATTTTAAAACGTTAGTACAACGGTTAAGATGTAATGTGGAATATGGGGTGGGTAGATGATTTTAAAACGTTAGTAGAACGGTAAGATGTTATGGTGGAATATTGGGTGGGTAGATGATTTTAAAACGTTAGTACAACGGTAAGATTTAACGTGGAATATTAGGTGGGTATAGATCATTTAGTAAAACGACAAATAATCGAGTGTCTGGCGCTTGATTTCATAGAAAATGGTGCGCGTTTGCAAAGCTGTCAATAAACGTGTTTGAGGATAATTTACTCGCTGATTTCACAGGAGCGTTCTTCAGATTTTCTGAGAGACCCCCCAACACCCCTACCACCCACAAGACCCCTCCGTCGTAGGGTCTTGGCACAGGTGAATTGTCACTAGAACAATTCAACATTCAACATTGCAATTAGGTATTGCTGGACACACTCCCGCTGAAAATCTTTGATCAGCCTCTGCTTCAGCCTGTTAACTGTCTTTATTGACATTTGAACAGGTACCAAAGGAAGAGAAAGAGAAAGATTATGGTAGGTAAGATGTAGTGTTTTTGTTAGATAGGTTGGACGATCAGGATTAACTTTATTAATCACAAATAGATAGGTGTCTTGAAATCTGAAATGTTGACCGTATAACTTACCATTCCTGGCAGCCTCTTTGTGTAGATGTACCGGCAGCCGTGACCTCATTGCTGGCAATGTCATAGCAAGTACAACTAGCTTGTGTTGCGCAGCTGTTCATTCCAGATAAGCTGTCAGTTTGCCGATCACCACTTGGGCATGAACAACCAGGTACACATTGTTCCATGCATGTTGTGGACAAGGCATAATCACGGCATGCACTTTTACAGACCGATTGACAATTTTCAAAGATATATCCACTTTCGCAAGTAAAGTATTGACCTATAAAAAAATGTTTCAGTATCAGAACATGCTTGGAAATGTTAATGATTCATTTATATTTTAATTAATTTGGAATGTTCTAAGTCATTTTCATTTTAAATTTTAAAACAATAAAATCTGCGTAATCAATTAATCAATATTTACTGTACTAGATTAATTAAACTCTAATTTCATAAATTAATTAATTAATTAAACTCTAATTTCATAAATTAATTAAACTCTAATTTTATAAATTAATTAAACTCTAACTTCATAAATTAATTAAACTCTAATTTCATAAATTAAGGAAACTCCAATTTCATACATTAATTACGCTATAGTTTCCTGAATGTAATTGCCGAAATAAATGCCCTTATCACTTAAATCATAATTTCATAATTAATTAAAGTATAGTTTCTTAAATGGATAAACAATACAATTTAGTTAATACTTACTACACTTGGCGTACAGATTTGTTTGTGCTTCAAATTGTTCCTTGGTAACACCACAGTCTCCCATCAGGGCAAAAGCGATTGGACAGACGTTTAATGGATCTGCTGATATTTCACAGAGTTCCTTTAAACCGGAAACGCGGTCTGTCGGTTGGGTGTTACTACATGTGCTCACAGTAAACATTGTATCTAACTCGTTACACTGAAATAAAATACAGCATTGATAATTAATATTAGCATTTCAATTCCAGCGTGCACTTTTAGAGAGAGAAATGGGGTTTAACGTCCACTCGACACAAAGTAGGTCATTTCAGGACTAAAATATGGTCGAATTTTATTTCAATAGTGTTCTTCTTTTGGATCGTGTGTATTGAATTATGGTCAAACAGATCAAATTTTCTTTCTTGATTTGTGTTTTAAACCACGAGGGGGTAGATCATATTTCATTTTTTCGAAATATAATGCTAATTAATTAAAATATTTCACACTCTTTCTTAAGGGGATGTTTCTTCAAAGCAAGGACCTATGTTGTTTCAATAACCCCTTAGTGACTGTCTTAATATCTAATTATGTGTAATTTCCTATATTTCAACCTATGTGGTCATGCAGAAAAGACGTTTTATTTTAAGCTGAAACGGGTAAATATGTTTCCAAACTATGAACGATTTGTAATTTCTGAGTATAGTATTTATTTCCACATTCTGTGTAATTCAATTGTAAAACCAAACACCCAGTATATGAACAAATATTAATAATGTATAAAAGTGCAATAAGTAGATGATATATTTATTCATTTCGTTCAATTCATGTCGTATTCACGGTAATAACAATTTTCAAAATTGAAAATAAATCTCGAGTATGTAACTATTCGCATTTTCTACTTGAGAGCCATGCAGAGTGCCCGCGTAGCTTTCGAGTTGAAAATATGACATGATCAGAGCCCTGTTTTTGAAATCTTAACTAAAGATAAAATCCAAATTTTAGTAGATACTTCAATTTTGATTGGCTACGCACTAAAATCAACCTAATATTATCCAATCAAATTACTAAAACTTATCTTAGTTAAATTTTCGTGAAACAGGCCCCAGGGCGCTATTTTTAAATCGGAAACTACCACATATACAATAAGATACGAACGTATCATTGAGAAAAGTAATGACTGTATAAATGACAATAGTCAATGGTAAATTGGACGAAAGTTGACTCCAACATGGCCGCCGTATATTTATGGGTCTACGTGGGGAATACCTACCCTAACCCCAACCACAACCGTTTTTATAAGACTCAACTTGGGTCTTTTTTACCTTTTACCCTTCTAAAATGGGCTAGCGTTAGGGTTGGTATTCCCAGAGTAGACTCATTAATATGCGGCGGCCATGTTGGAATCAACTTGGGGTCCAATTTACCATTGACCATATGACAATGCTTCAATTAAGAGGCGTGAATTGCGCTTTCCAATACGGGAACTACCGTAAATACAACAATATACGAACGCATAACGAATATGTGCTTAGGTGTTTTATTTATATAAAATAAAATTGAGAAAAATAATGACTGTATAAATGACACTACTGCACAAATGTGGCGTGTGGAGTCTGCAAGATTTAAAAAAAATACTAACAAAGAATAAAAAGGCCTCCTTTTAACCATATGGTAGTGACAAAATCTGTCAAGTTTACTTCTTTGTGTCTCTAATTTTGAAAATATCCGAAGCTCAAGGTGCAGTCGTGATTAAATTCTAAAACGGAATATGCATTCTGTGTTTCTTCTAATTTAAATTAATTAAAGTATCCAAAATAAATTATTGGTCAAATGAAGGAAATGTATGTGCGGGGCGTGTACAGATAGTAAAGTTAGTGTGGATAGAGAATACCCTAGCAAATGTTACACATGATCAAGTGGGTATTGCTAGCCATGTTTAATAATTAGGTCATGTTGCTGATAGAAAATGCTTATCAATAGTGTGTGACTCTGGTTTGAGCTTGATAAAACAAAATATGGCTTTACATATAGTAATTATTTCATTCTATTTCACAATAACGTATGATCATTTTACCATTAACATTGAAGCAATAATTGAAACGTGTAACATCACATACATAGTCCAATCTTAATTCAAAATACTTCTATTCTTTGATTTGTTTGAAATGGATATTTATATTATCTAGCCCGTACCATTATCTGTACATCGTTCATTTTAAATATTGTAAATATATTAAAAGAAAAGTAAACATCTACGTTTATGAAGAAGCCACAGTTTATAATGATATTGAATCATTTTAAAATTTCATATTTAGCCCAACATAATATAAATAAACGATCAACAGGAAGTGACGTTGATATATCATCCACACAAATAGGACATATGACCGTCCCTACTATCTAAATGATTAGAGCATGTCATTTCTTCTTACATATTTACAAACTTAAACTAAACATAAATTTTAATTACGAAATAAAACGAATAATCGAAAAATCATTTTTATATGTTACAGCTTCGCAAAATATGTTTACTTTTCCTCCAATGAAATATAATGCTAGTGCTATAAAATATTGAAAAATAAAAAAATGAAATATTGTGCATAAAGAGTTTAAAATGTTGGCTTATTTTAATAAAATAAACCCAACAACACTTATTAACTTACATGGGCAGAAAATTCCTATATTAAAAACAATAATTATCAGCAAATTCAAATAAACAAATATTGTTAGCTATTCTTAATATAGACATCAGGGGCCTGTTTCACAAAATTTTAACTAAGATAAAAATCCAAATTTTAGTAATTTGATTGGATAATATTAGATTGATTTTAGTGCTTAGCCAATCAAAATTGAAGTATCTACTAAAATTTGGATTTTATCTTTAGTTAAGATTTCGAGAAACAGGGCCCAGAACTTTCACATAACTTCAAAGTTTTCAATCCATCCTTGACTAAGCGCCGTCATAATTCATTTTTAACTAAACGGTATTGTTTATGGAATTCTCTCGCGCTTAACGATTAGCCATCACAAATGTCCTGTGGAAAACTAGCAGATTCAACGTTAAAAAAAAATTTGAATATTATTCACCTTTGTAAATGCTACGAAAGTCATGTACATATGAAAAGCCGGTGAGCGAAGAGCAAAAGGCGTTACTGAATTCATTCGCTGTGAGACGGAGACGTATTCGATTAATTTTTATACAGAAACCACAGTGTCAATTTTACTTACCATAGCAGATGATGTCTTGGTGGCAGTGCTTATATCAAAATGAGCGCCGCAGTTGCCATCAGAATAGGCTTGGAGAAATTCACTGGATGTACCAGCACCGCCTGAGGGTAGCTCAAATTCGTCATTGAATTGGTAATTAAATTTCCCACATGCACCAGCAGTCTAAATTAAAAATAAACAATATATTTAATATAAATATCATGTAACAAAGGATGGTTCGTCGTCAGCGACGGATTTAATAGAATAGATTTAAATGAATAATAGATAAATAAATGCGAAAATTTAAACAGAGTTTAACTTGGCGGGAGTAAAGCACAAATATTTCAGTTGCTTCAGGTCAGACATTACAATCGAAAGTTTAAAGGAACTTTACCAAAACGGTTAATGGATAAATATAAGTGAATATTTTCATATAATATAAAGAGACACTTACTTGATTTACATACGCCGGTTGTAATCGTATTGTTAATCGACCAGCATCACTAAAAAGGACTCGAACATTTGGACCTTCAATAACGTAGTACAAGTTGGTGACCTTCTTAATGTAGAAGTTACCAACAGAGAAAGGCATTGGTGTGTTGTCACTTGAGCTGGTGATGAGTCGTGTTGAGGAATCTATATTTTTCAATTCTACAGCTTGACCTTTATAAACAACTTTCACGCCCTTAATACAGACAGCATTTATTCCACTGACGCATTTAGTTGTATCTAACGATATTTCAAGGTCGGCTCCCTGTAACATAAGAACAAAGATTTATGCTCAATCCTTTTGATATTTGTCAATAAAATATGTTTAAACTAACAAAGATTTATTAATCGCATCAGTTCCCTAAAGAAAATGTAGTCCATTCCCACGAGCCGTACACTTTATATATATTTCTCTTGTCGTTCATCAAGATAATAATCGGAAATAAAAGAGTAATCGGTGGAATAATATAATTGCTAGTATGTAGTTCCGAGGGTCACATTTACCTACCAATCAGAGGGTCCCCAAATCTGTTAAAATGTTGTACATGGGCCCTTAATGTTTTGGATAAACTATGTAATAAAATATATAAAATAACAGGTGTACACTTGAAACAAGGTTGTACGTTGGTACGATACGCGACAATTATTTTCAATGGGCCCCCAGATACCTGAAGAAAACAGACCAATTACTTTTCTGTACAGACAAGGCTTACCTGTACAAGGGTGAATTTACAAGTAGACGTAGTAGCTCCAATATGAATAGATGCTCCATCAAAAGTCTTCATAGAACCAACTCCAACAATTTCACAGGTAGCGCTGCATGGTCTGCTTACGCAATTCCAATATCCATAGAGACCACAAGTGCTGGAAAATAAAAACGATATTAAGCAATATCTAACGGGTGTGGTATTAGTGGGGTGCAAATAAGGGGTACCCCTATATACACAAAACAAACACCAATAAATATTCAGGACACAAACTGGGCAGTTGCAGGAGGAGTAAGCCATCAGAGAGCCCAAAGTGAATGCCTCGAAACAAGTAAGTCTTGATTATACGTATTTTATTGACACAATAATAAAAGTAATGTAATCAATATGTAATAAGTCTCGTCACTATTCAAGATTAATAATCTAAATTTTGTACATGACTACAATAATTCTTTTTTATTTGTGCAGTCATTGTTCTAAGACTTTTTTTGTATTTAAGTGAAATAACGTACATCAATATGCATGTATGCATGATAATATTAATCAAATTTCTTCTCTTTTCAGGATAGTGTGGTTATTAGACCCTGATCAAATAATTGTAAATACTCCACAACAAGTTATTCATTAATCATTTTCTGTTAATTTCAGGTAAAGTGATCTATATGTCGTATTGGATATTGTTTATTAGAATTAAACTTTTATAATCCTTAATTAAGTTAGGTTCCCTTTAAGGTTATTAGAAGGGTATCTCTGATCGGTCAGCATTAACCAAATATTGCTGTGTACACGTATATATTATCTTGTTATATTTTCACATGTTATCTTAGCTTGATAATGCCCAGAGAAGCCTAGTCAAAACAGTAAATTGTATTCCACAGAATTGTGACCTGTGTACTCACCATGTTTGACAGTTGTTTTCGGAGACTACGGTTTGATTATAGTTGTAGTCTTGTTTCTGGTATTTACAAGAGCATTTATCTGCTGTTACGCATGCGCCATTGTGTAAGACCAGACCAGGCTTACATTGGCAACCAGGTACACATCGACCACATTCATCTTTGTTCAAAGAAGCAAAGTAATTTCCACATCCGCGAGGACATGAACTTCCACATTGACTGTAGTCCATACCGGCTGGGCACACAATCGCTGTAATCAGAATAAAAATCCTTTAATATATATGCCCATGAATTGTATTTCATCTCTTCATTTATAAGATGAAATGTAATTTGACTGAAAGATGTCTTTATTTCAAATAACATTGAATATTTTAACAGGACAACATATCGACGTATCGTGATATTTTGCCACCTTATTTCTGAATATGGAAATATTAAGGGGGGGGGGGGCGGGTAATCTAGTTTCAAGTTCTATATCAGTATCAGGAATTCCCAGAGGATATTTACTCGGTGGAACGTTCCGGAATTGGGTTCCCCCAATCCAATGAAAAGTGGTAATAGAGTGAATGAAAAGGGAGATTTGGGCTACAAGGCATGCGCTGACATTATAAGAAAAATATCTCTATCAACCACGATAGCTGGAGCAAGTTAATTAATTTTGATAACGTCGCGATTCTACGAATGCTAAATTAGTTGCTGGGGGGGAATATGAATAGTGAAAGTGGTGAATTCCGTTCCTTTCCATTTGAAACTTCCCGGACCCACAATCCAGCGTTCCACAAAGGACGATTCCTATCGTTGTCAACCCGGTAACTATTAGACAATCAAGGGTATATTTTTCTATGGAAACCTACATGTGGTTCGAGTTGCCCGTCTTCTTTGGCCCGGTCGGTGCAGAAAAGGAGGACATTAAACCCCATTTCATTTTGGGTTCGGGGTTGAAGTCGAAATGAGGTAACAGTAATTTGTGGTTTACTTCGAAATGACAATACTTACGACACAAGAGCGGTGATCTCCAACTGATGACGATTTCATTATTAGCACATTCGGTTGCATACATCTTAAATCTGTTACAACGAGCTTCTTTGGCTGACGCCTCACTGGCTACAGCAGCTGCACAGTAAGCTTCTTTGCACATTTCAAAATAGGAATTGACATCGACCTACGGAAAATAAAATATTTTTAATTAGGTTTTCATTCAATGGTTTCACTGCTGATTTTTTTTCTTTGGACAATTGTATTACTGTACATGAGGAGGGGGTGGGGGCGTGGCCAAGTGGTCTAACGCAGGGGTAATTCGAGGGATTAGCGGGTCTAGGTCTAATCCTACATTTTACGGCTTTGATTACTGTATGGATTTCTCGTTAAACTTAATAAGGCCTGTTCGACCTCTTTTAGTCTATAAATATTACATGGTTTAAAACTATTCCAGTAAAATGGAGAGGGTTGGGCGGGGTGTAATTCGAAGGATAAGGCGGTCTGTGTCTAATTCCTGCATTTTACGGCTTTGATTTTGGATGTCTTCATTTATTTGATATGGTAAAGTACTTACAACTCCGTGGCACGAAGCGAACATGCTAGACTTCAGGTATGAACATTCTTGTGCGGCTACTGATAGTTGAGTTTCGGAACATTCGGGTAAAGCTTGACCACACTGAAACAAAAGTTAGAGACAAATATAGCAACTTATAGATTTTCATATTTTACTAATTATAGGATTTAATTATTAGTGAGCATTATTTGGATAATTTACTAATTACAGGATATAATCATTACTGAGCATTATTTGGATTTGCAATAACGCCTGTTCGAAAAGGATGTTTTAATAAACCGATATTGCTTATATATCTTCTTCTTGCTTTTACTGTCACTACTACATTTATGAAACAGATTAGACGGTTAAAGTGCCCAGAAAATGCATAACCAACTACTTACTGTACCACCGGCTACTAATTGCGAATCTCCCATAGCTTTAGCTTTGAATCCATCAGCGGAGAGATCAGCCTCGTCTGGTAAATTAAGAAAAAAAATACATGTATATAAAATTTCGCTATAAACATAATGCAATCTAACCAAACGGCCATCTTTATCGTTTTTCTACGACTGAAGGCTCATGCTGTTCTATCTATGAACATCGGTGTCAAGGAGTTATCTAACTTCAATTACTATCTAAAAAAACATCTGTAGTCCTTATTCATGTTAAATTAAAATAACGAAAGGGCCACTTATTGGACTCCTGGTGCATTAAAGCTTAAAAACTGTTCAATCCTTTAAATTCAGTAATGGGTGAACCGTATTGAAACAAGGCCTTAGAATATCATACCTGATGTATCACCATCGAAGTCTCCACACATACCAGTTACACCACCACTTCCAATAAGACCTGTTCTGCTCAGTGTGACGTAGGCAGCGCCGTCTTTGTCAACTCGAACGGTAAGTCCAGTAGAACCGGATGAATGTTTGATGTAAATCGAGTCACCAGATCGAACAACATTGACAACTAAAACATAACACAAAAAGAAATTAAGGGTATGATTAAATTCCAATTGTTAAACATTATCATAATTTATTCCAAAAAAAAAGGTTTTCAATCATAATATCACTATTGTGGTAAGAAAGACTAGTTCTCTTCTCTGCTAAAATTTAAGATGCATTATGTGACAGCTAAATTACCCTATTGCAGGTCTTAATTTTGGCTCCAAACGTTATAAAAACTATTATTTTAATATTTATTAATATGACAAGCCCACAATCAACTCTCTATGCCATCGGATGAGTTCGATTTTAAGTAGATTAGAACGCTTCGTCTATTTAATGATTTAATTTAAAAAGGAAAACGAGGCTAAGTCTCGCATAACAAGTGCCGTTGTTATGATAATAAACAATGGGTGCCACATATTGTCAAAACTCCAAACAGTGAAAATTTCGCTCAGAATAAAGTAATTTGAATGAAATGTTCAATATATTCATTTTGCTTTATTTATTTTAGAACTATTATAGAAAAAACGGCCAGCTTTGTATCGAACTCTTACATAATGCATCTTTAAATTTGTTCAGTGGAGTCTCTGTCCACTAACCCCTACGCCTATAATATGAAGAATCAATTTTTAAGAAGTTTTTCTTAGCTTTTACAGCCCATCGAAATTTCAACAAAATTGCCGGCACTTAACATCTCTAGATTTCACAAATTAGATAGTAAGCCACGAACAGTCGCATCAAGTCAACCCTTTGCCACGCGAAATATTTAACTTTTGTACAATTCCTGACATGCCATAATGTAGGGTGACCCATGCAGCTACAGAAATACAGTCAACCGCTGATAGTTCGAGACTACCACTGAAGCGTGCACATTCGCCGTGTCGAGGCCAACTTTCTGACAGTATGATACTATAAATAGCCATGGCACGTGCAATTCTCTACAAATCTATCAACTATTACAGCCGTAAAAAATTGATTGTTGACGATTTTGAATAGCAGTAAAATTAAGCTTCTTGGTTATTACAGCAGATTTAGAAATTACGTTCGTTTCATTTTTTAAATCGCTTTATTATTAACTGTACCGTTAAGAGCGGCATCTTTTGGTTTAGTACAAATACTATCTCTGAAACACTCGGGTTAGACAGGAACATGATACTAGCAGTAGTTTCATTTTACTTTTACAAGCTTCTTAAAACAATTGTTGAGCTAGCTAACGTGCTCATTTCTAAATTCAATTTCTTGTTCTCGCTTTCTGTTATGTTTCGTAAAAAAGTAGTCTTGGTTATCCCGACCTGTCAATCAGCCTTAGAATGGTCGATAGACTGGTTAAGCGAGACTAATTTCAAAACAAGGGCACGTAACCTATCTTTTACTCAAAAGTGTCTGGATGTTATGGACGACACATGGAACCAGTTTTCAGTCTATTATTTATAGATGATTATTGGCCATAGCTTATTAAGTACAACATGATCGTTTATTTAGTGACTATAATTGTGTGAAACTGATTTGAGGCTTGGCATATATATAAATATTGTGGCGAAATTGTCGAGATATATGGAGATATTTATTTATGGTGGGTCACCCTACGGCATATAGGGAGACCAGATCAATAGAAAATGTATTGTATAAGTACGACCCCTTTTGCTATTCAGGTTTGTTTATTTAATAAACATGTGCTTGTGTTTAGTCTATTTGAAATTAACACGTTTTATATTTTGTTGCTTGTCAAGTCAAGTACATGATCGACCAAGTACTGCTACTCGTAGCTAGACGCACCTACTCTTTTTATACGAAGCAGGTCGAGGGTGTGGGGGGGGGGAAGGAAAAGTGTCTATTCGTCAGGATGGTACAATTAATCCATTCCTTTCAACACAAATGAGATAGGATCTGCAAAGCACTACTTTGAAACACTTTGAACGACGAGTGGGGGTCTGTCGCTTTTTCTGCAAAAGCCCTAAAGTATATTAATTTCATGTTGTAATATATTATTTTCAAACTTTGTGTATGCCTGCTGAAAAAAACAATGATCTTTAGACAGAAAACTTACGTGAGTCGGAATAAGGTTCTTCTTGTGTTACGGGACATTTGACGGAATTAATATACACTTGACCATCCACGTAAGAGAATGTAGCACTATTTACAACATCGGTGATTTTGATTTTCTGAAAGCAAAAACGTTCTTATGTTATTTTTATTTCATGTTTCTTTGGAGGCAGAAAATACAGTTAACGCTGGTGACGTCTGCATGTCATTTCGCAGTCTTCTAATAATAGAGCTTACTATTAGCCAATCAAATCACATCAAAAAGGTAAGGCCGGTAACTCGCACATCCCATTTGCATCCTCTGTGATACACTGGATAATTTGGACTACTGTACACTAGCCAAAGAGAACCAAATGTACATGGGAGAGGCTAATTACAGACCAGTTGGGGATGGGGGCATTTCCGGAGTCCACAATGGCCGCTTTAAATAAATGAGTATTTTGACGAAATGCCGTATATATCGTCTACAGAGCATAACAAATATTGAAACATTTATGAATACTGAACGGATCTGAACCATTTTAGAAGCGATATTCCTTTTAGTGATATGAGCCACGGTGACTAAGTGAGTAAGAAAACTGGGCTAATGAAGACGGAAGTGAGTAAGATGCTGGCTCGCTAGTCTGGAGGTCGCGGGTTCGATCCCGGTGTTGACCGAGAAAGTTCATCGAGATTTTCGGGCGTGGTTTTCCAGAGGTGCAAGACGGAGGGCCTGACAAGGACAGCTGTCTAGTCGTTCGTATAAATTCAAATAGCATTGTCTACCTTCTGGCAGATTGATTCAGCATTGCAGTCTGTAGATGCCGTCACAGTAAAGTCGTTGGTTTTCGCCAAGGTGACTTCACATGTTGACTTGTAGTTGAAATAAACACCGTCAAATGTTCTATAGAGGGAGTCACCAGAGGCTAAACAACTCTTGAATTTCAATCCAGCTGTTTGGTTTACAATCTTCACATTGCCTGTTATTGGAGAAAAAAAACTGATGAAATCAAATCAAAACCCAATGATTTCATTAAAGGTATGGTAAGAGATTGGTTTTATTTTATTATTATTTTCTTATTTCTTTCTTTATTTTTCTTTTAAAAGAATTTTTAATATAAGCTATAGAACTGATGTCAACCCAAGAAAAAACAATATACAAGTGTTTCGATTATTTCCCCCCCCCCCCCAAACAAAAAACAAAAAAAAAACACTCACGGTATATATTTTTTGTTTTCGTGGAGTTTGTTTCCCTAGCATTTCTAGCTTAATTAACGAGTAATGTTCTTGGAAATAATACGGAGATTTCAGGGTAGCGATTTGTCTAAAGAAAATCACACTAAGGCCGGGTTATAGGACCTGGGCAATGAGAGAGAAAAAAAGTTCAGTGTCGCTGATATTGGATTTAACATAATAGGGTCGGTCGGGCAACAGGTATTTATTTTTTATTTTGGCTTTAGGGGTGTCCGATACTCTCGTTCTCTTCGCAAGATATCGATCTAGTGCAATGCTGATATTTGGGGATTTTCTCGCATACGATTCATCACAAAATACAATAGAATTGCCACAGATTATCGTGAGAAGATAGTTTACCTGTGAGGCAGGGTTTACAGACAGCAGGTTCCCAGCTGTTTCCCCAAAAGTTACCAGAGGAGCCCGCTTTGCAGCAATCTTCGAATGCTACTGGTTCGTTGTTACCTCCAACTTTCACCCCTTTACAACCCAATTCTGATGTATAACAGTACTGACGAGAGGAAGTTACCGCTGGAAAATATAAGAAAAAAAATGAATATAGTTGAGGTTTTTTTTCAAATTTGTGTCTAAGCCCAAGCTAATGTAATAATGATTTTTCGCAATTTATAAATATATATTCTATAAAGCAAATTAGGTTGAAAATGCGTTTTGATTTCTTTTGGACTTGTTCCTTTTCAGGCCATATTAATATAATAATACATTATATAAATATATATTAATTTTATTCTTTCAGTTTAATGACCATGTTATTATGAAAACATAGTGGACGGCCGACTGATTATTCTCAAAAGATGTATTTCTAACCTGAGACCTCTTCTTCACAGAAACTGCCCTTGAAACCAGCAAGACACGAGCAAGTATTTGCTGCGGAGCAATTACCTCCATTTGAACAAGCCGGAGAACACGTTGCTGTAACAGAAAAACATGTAATATATTATTTACGTATGAAGCACAAAATTATATAAGTGTCTGTGGGTTCAAGTCCTTGGTTCATAGGGAAATTCGATGCGATTGTGTTCCTCAAGTCGCGACATAAATTGTGGATTACGGCAAACTTTAGTGAAGTTTTAGGAACATGAACGCTTTTTTCTTCGTGTTACAAGGTAAAAATGATACTTCCCATCTCTCCAATCGCATCAAAATCTCGTGATTGTCACCTGACATCTTCGGTATTGCCCCACTGCTTCCTTATTCTATTTTTTTTACAAGGCATTGAGATAATTTCTATCAGGCCCACTACTTAACTATAGTAAAAATGCTCTTTGCACACTTGATTGTCTAGTTAACTTAAACCTTCGGATTTACAAGTAACAATTATCGTAATTACCGTAAATACGATATGATACGCCCGCCAAAATACCCCACATCAGACCACCCTAAAGCCCACAAAAAAATTAACAAAATCAATAACAATAACATGTCAACTAATATCCGGCGAGATAATGATCGGTGAACAACTATAAACGATCCATGTTCTACAGAAGCGCTCAATGTTTTTTTCTGCATTTTATTACGTATTTTGTTGATATTCATTGTGGGGTGGGTTTGTAGATGGCGCCCTAGGTTGCCCCTATCCCTACCCCTACCCCACCCCTATTCATAATTCTTGATCCGCTACTGATAAGTGTTATTTAAATATCATGCGTTATGTGACCCTCGGGGCCAAATATTAGATGTGCGAAGAATTATGCATATTTGTATATAAAAAAATATTTAACTCGTGGCCCTTGCTTACTAATCCAAATATACTTACGTTCGTCACATTTGTCGCCGATATATCCGGCACAACATTCTTGACGATTAGCGTGATCAAGCCTAAAAACAAATGAGAAAATACTTAAATATACAATTATAATTTAAACCAATGTCTACAGCTAGATAAATATTGACGTTTTGAATAGAGCATAATGTCCTTTTCCACTCGGCAAACCTCGACAGATTCCGTTACTCTACATCTAGCCTCGGCTGTATGACGGTAAGTGATATGTACTTACGCCTATACAGTTGCGATACGGCACCGGTTTACTTCTTGCCGTTTTTAAAAAGAAGTTATCAAAATTGCGTCGGTCAAAGAGTGTGTAGAATTTTTAGTGCAGAGTTGTCCTTGTTTGAAGAAAATCGGTGAAAGAAAATTAGGTTCAGACTTTGAAATATTTGTATGATAAAACATTCTTCAAAGGCGTCGTCCTGGGCTACGCTGTTGGTAATCTGGGAACTTGAAAGTAGTTCCAATATCGGACTTCGTCATACAGCCGAGGCTAGATGTAGGTTTCTGGAATTTGCTGAGGTTTGCCGAGTGGTCTTTTTCCTGCTTTCAATGTCGCTTTCAGTTTCCTAATTAGGTTAATACTTCTAGTGAGTATGTTTGAATTAACGTCATACCTAGGCGTAAGTAAAAATTTATTATGTATTTAATTATGTATCTACACCCCTTTTGTTCGTTCTTATATTATAATATTTATGTGTAATAATAATTAGGGGGTGGTTATTATGTTTGTTTTCGACTACGCCTATACCACGATCCCATTCAGATATCCTGAATAAAATATCGTTTATAAAAAAGCCCATAAAAACGTCATACTTACTTGTAAAAATAACAAATATTTGTCGGATCATTCTTGGCGATGAGGCCAGAAATTGCATCCACTGTGGTCTGATGGGTCGTCGCTGTTAAATTAAAGTCAATGGTGTAGCCGGTTTGTAACAGCGGTAGCACTGTGTTCATTGTACATGGTGCAGTTTTGTTAGTTCTTATCTCGATCGTTTTGTTGCAGTAATCGGCACTGAAATGGAAATGAAATGAAATGATTAAGCTTGGAAGGGGCGCCTGGTTTAAAATGTGACTTGGATCCTTGCATCAACAGTGACAAGGGGACATCTGTCCGCCACACACACACAACTGCAATGTGTACGTCGGTAAGGTAGATAGATAGATTTATTTGGCAAAAAACGTATAGAATATAATAAATCAAATCATAAAATTAATTTGGGGGTCTCGTTAATATATGGGCTCCTGGTTGAAGCCCAGTCAGCCCCGTTCCCTGATCTAGTTGTAAGACCTGGTCCATGTTTTCTGAATATTTACAGGGTTGATGCAGTAATTTGGTTACGCACAAGGCTGGATTCAGAATCTGGATAGCACAGACGATCCTATTCTCATGTAGATCTATACGCGATCCGGAGACGAAATTACGTTTGCATATGTGTCAGACCACCGTTGCAGAGCACCGTCTAAACCATTTCGGCTAACTTATTTCCAGAGTAGCTTTGTCAAGCAGAACCCGTATTTTAAGAAATCCAAGGTTTTGTTTATATTTTCGTCGGTGCTCTCATTAGAGACAAAGAGAGAGAGAGAGAGAAATAGGGATTAACGTCCACTCGACACAAACTAGCACGCGCTAACTATTCGCCCCCCCCCCCCCCCCTCTGCTTTTATTTGATCCTTGTACATTTGAGTTAAACCGGTAGAATAGCACAGCTAGAATAGATATCAATTAAATGTGCTCTCTAAATTATTATAAGAATTATTAGTAAATTGTGTGTAAGATATCGCCACTGATGGGAGTATAGAATGTGTTGAAGGGACACGAAGCAGTCAAATATTATATTTGAAATCTAATATTGTCTACACTGACGAACATAAAATGGCGTAGAAAATGTAAGTTTTTCTTATATTTTCGAAGAATTATAAATTGATTTAATCTCGGTCTAAAAAAAGAAACAAGATGAAGACCGGCATACCCCATACAGTGTCCTATGAGGGAAATTGTACCCACACAGCGGCGCTACGGTCTTCTCTTATATAGAATTCCTATTGCCAAGGGATCTTTTACGTGCACTCCAATGTGTACACGGGATCTCGGTTTTTTGTCTCACCCGTTAGGGTGACTAGACAGTTGTCCTTGTGTAAATAACCTTAAATTTTAATATGCAAATAAAATTGTATTTAACGTCCTAGAGTTTTGCCCAAACTGTAATGGTATAATAAATCTCTCTCAAAATATATATTATACGAAGGAAAGCTACCCCAAGCTGTAAAGTTATATTTTAAGCACCCTTTTTTTCCCGTGACTTGACCAAGTGGAGGGTCAAGTTTCAACTTGTACAATTTGTCGTTACTTATCTATTTACCATTAATATCGATGACTAAATAAATTCTTGGATTATTTTGAAATGGACAAAATTAAACCCGCATTTCTAATTTAGAGAATGTTCTTTGTACTTGCATATATTTATTAACTAAACCCGACCTATTTAATTTAACTCGTAGTATATCTACAAAAGTTTTAAGGTATTTCAAATAAAGATGACAAAAAAAGTCAACAGTTACCAATATAAACATAAACCAGCTTTAGCATCCTTTTTTTTTTACTAAGTTTTAGTTGATGAAACTAATGAACAATAGAACACAAAAACTCACCAAACTCGATTGTATAATCGAATAACACACTGTTTATGGATAACAATTACTATGGTTTATTTCACTGCGACGTTTCAACAAGATTTCACAAGACGTTACCAAGCATATAACACAAAACTGTGTGTTATTCGATTATGTTCCAATTACTAATTAATGCCATTTAAAGAATATATTCGATTGTATAATAATCAAATAGAAAAGCTTCGATAATATTCGACGAGAACATTATTTAAGATGAAAATAATTTTAATTCATTTAATGGTGTGTTTACAGAACTGTAGATATTCAATTGAAAACTGGAGAGAAAAAAAACGGACATTTTTTCAGATACTTTCTGATAATCCTCAAAAGTGTATGTATGGGGAATTTTTTTAAAAAAGAAAATGGGAAACTTCATTTTAATTATGTGTTTGATTGTAGTTTGATCAAATTAGTATTTTGAAGTAAAAGAATATTACTTTTTGTTCGGCGAACATTGATTAACATTCGTAGCTCAGCAATGACGTATATGATTGGTCGATAAACTCATTTCTAGTTATTCGTGCTGGTATTTCATTGGATTAGTGTACAATAGGCGTGGTATTGATTATGCAAATCACCTGAGTGACAGATTGCAAATTGTAATGTATTTCATATTATTAATCTATAATGACGTCGATAAGCTCCTGTCAAAAATTGATTTTAATTTCAAAGAAAATATATTTAATATATATTATATTTCTTATATTTCTTTTTTTTAAGATGTTGATTCATTTTTAAGCCCAGGTGAATTGAATTTATTTGCCGCAGTTGACAACAGCCGGTGTCTGACTTACAGATATTTTTCAAAATTAATTTTTAACTTTATCTTCGCCTTGAAGGCACTACATTTCAGAGTTTTCTCCATTTCTGGATTATTTTGATGTTACATTTCCCTACCAAAATTATTAACCCAGCAAACAGACCCTACTTTAGCATGAATCTATAGCATAAATATGGATATCTAGATTAGTTTATAAGATGGGTTGTATGGGCTTTTAAAAACTTAATTATTGCGGGGTTTTTATTTCTACATTTTTCTTTGTCAATCAAAAATACAATGCGGCTCTGTTTCTGTAGTCTACTATGTGAAGGACATTTTGCCTGGACAGCGACACTACGGTTGACTGGTTTTCGAATTCTAGTTTCGAAAAGGGGTTCTTTTACAAGGGGAAATCATGCCGAATGGAATTTTCTCGGTCAACACGGGGAACTTCAAGTTAGCGAGCCAGCGCTTCACGCACTGTGTGGAATAAAGAAAGAGGACAATTAAAGCTTAATTTTGATTTACTTTGATATTTAAATGGAGAAACAAATTATTTGTGTGAATTTTCTGGGAATACAAACTGTCAAGGGCTCTTTAAGTACACGCCACTGTGTTCACGAGACGTTTTTTTAGGGAGTTTTTTTTGTCAGCGTTTCTTTCAAAACCACTTACAAGTTGAAAACATGCAGAAAAATCCAGCGGGACTTTTCTTGGCGAACACCGGGGGCGACCCCGAGACCCCCTGGTTAACGAGCCAGCGCTTTTCTCACTGAGCAATCACGCGTCATGCGCTTTTAACGCGTCCATTTTATTAATGAAAAAATAAGCACGATTCGCGATGGCGACACACTATGCGTCTGAAAAAAGGCAATAGTTAGCACTGACCATCCATGAAATAAATTACTTCTGAGGTATAAAAAAAATACTCCGACTAGGTTAATGAAGACGGGCATAAGCCATACCGTGTGTTATGGGGGAAATTTTGCCCAGGCAGTGACACTATGGCCTGCTCTTAATTCCAACTGCCAATTGATCTTTTACGTGCAAGCCGAACGACTAGACAGCTGTCCGGAACAGGCCCACCGTCATGCGGGTATAAAATGAGCATTCAAGAATTGCTTTGGATCCATTTTACATCCTCAAAATAACCGTAAGATGTATTTATTACCAGACAAGGAAACATTAAAAAGATTTATCGTAAAGTAACCATGCTTGTTTGCATATCAAGATTTCCACGGCTTAATCCATGCTAATATTGCTTAGTTAACATTTAATTAAGAAAAAAATATCAAAATACCAATCGGGTTTAAAACCGGCCAACCAATTTAGCTCAAGGTGTCGGTGAGTTTGTTATATACGGTTTGTCATTTCTTCATATCTTTGTAAATACTGAACGGAAATGGACTATTTCTATAGGGCTACCATCGCGCATAGGTTCTCTTATGAGTGTGCTCACCATCTATAAATTCATAGATTCGAGTAACGTGAAAGTTAGAGACAAAATTACATGTACACGTATAAAAATGCGGTAAATAAGACGCGTGGGTCGAACGATTTTGTGTGCGCAAGGCGGGACATTTGCGCATGTTTAAAAATTCATCCTATGGAGTAAGAAAATGAAATGAAATAAAGTGGCGTTTAGCGTCGTACTTTTTTCCTCCATACGAGCCAATGAATAGGAGCATGTGCGAGACAGTGTGCTATGATGGAATTGTGCCCAGACCACGGGACTTCCCGTAAAAGGGGTTCTTTTACGTGCACGCCACTGACAAGCGGAAACCATGTTGCGGCTCCACGACTAATAAAGATAGGAGACAAATAAAATTTAGTTTTGATTTATATATAACATTTAGGCATAGTGACCAGTTTTACTAGAAGTAATACAATTTTATCTATAAATATATTATATTTTTTCATTCTTTCTTGACTTTTTCTATATTATGAATGTGTGATTTTTTTTAAACTATAAGGAATGTATGAAATATTTGACAATATAATTAATATCTGATTTATTTCAGAAAAGAAAATGCACTATGGTTAATAAAGTTAAGTAATTCATTACATACATGGTCAGTGTTAATCTAACTACTAGTCAGTCTATTCCAAAATATTTCGATATTTATTCAACGATAAAATTAAAATGCGCAATTTCCAGCTGACTAATGATTCCAAAAAATAATTCATCAGTCAAGATAAATAATCATTAATCGGCTGAAATAGTAAATAAATTTAGAAAATGGGATCCGAATTAAGTCTAAAGGGCATTTTTAAATAGTGCCTACAATTAATCTCATATGATAAGAAATAAATATTTTATACGATAAATTAAAACAATCTTAATGGACCATTTTTTCTGATTTCATTTATTATATACACACAAAACACACCTATCTATTAACAAAACGGTCTTTTTAAAAAAAAAAAAAAAAAAAAGCTTCCGAGATACAACTGTACTCCTACGGTCATCCCCAAAAACAAAATTTGATAGAATATTCCTCTGTAATGAGACCGATAAGATATTCCACTCCATAAATGAATTATTTTCCTGCACAATTAACACAGTATGATGAATATGATAATATGATGTATTCCAGTGAGATATGGGATGATAAATCTAGTTATTAATGATATACGAATTAAATGATCTAAACCAGAGCTAACTTACTTGACGAAGATGGGGGATGTAGCAAAGGTCAGAATCCATATTATCAAGCCAATGAAGGGCTGCATAGGCCGGGTCATAGTACCCGCTAAATAGAGAACTTCAGTTGGTTGCGATTAACGTCCCTCTTCAGTATAACTGACTTTGATTAACGTTAAGAGCGAGAGACACGTACAAGACAGACTTGCACTATTTCGGGGACTGATAAGGTCCTCTGAATAACAACTGTCGCTCCTGAGCTTTTATACCCCGCACGACTTACGAAAGAGAGAAAATAATCAATGGTAAATTTGCTTACTTTTAGCAAGGTAGGGAATTGTATTTGATATCTACTGGCATATTGGAAAACTAAGCATATGAAGACCATTTCATTGGTTGGTGGATTTCATATTGGTAGGAAATCGATGTATTAGGCTCGTGATATATCAGTTAGTATATATTAATCGGTTTTTGTTGGCAACAGATGGGGTAGCAAGCATAAAACTTTGCAAATTAGAAATTCCTTAGCTCGCTTGAAAAACACTCCTTAAATAAAGCTTAACCAGTTGAAAGTCAAAGACGCACCGAAGGTTGCCGGTCACGCTTTCATATCGTGATGATCAATATGTTTCCATGTCAACAACATCCATTTGAAAAATTAACAATACCACGGAATTTATTTCAGATTTAGGGATCCGCCCTTTTGACGCTCATCTTATTTTCTGGATAAATGAAATAAAAGGGGATGTATTAGATTATATCGTTTAATCCATATCCATTGAAATGCACCGAAGTGTGTCATATTCGTATATCCAGACTAAATTAAATCCATCAAAGAATAATTTAAAAGCATAAAAGTGAAAGTTTTAAAATATATGTAATGCTCATTTTAAAATATATTTCAGGCGGGGTTTGGAATAATAAATTCTTTTTCTAAAGTTTATTATTGTTTTGGAAGAGAGAGAGGGGTGGGGGGAGAGAGAGAGAGAGAGAGAGAGAGAGAGAGGGAGGCGGAGGGGGGTAACCTCCACTCGACACAAACTGATTATGTAAGAAATACAAGAACACTACACTTCTCCCATTAACTTTGGAATCGCTTCAGTAGGTCTTTAAACCCCATTTCATTGTATCTCGAAATCTGTTAGGTAAACCTGTTAATACCAAACAAACTTGAAACTTAATTTAAAATAAAAAGTTTTAATATAATCATGTTATAGATGATGAGATATTTTATCATTACACGAGCACGAAATAAATTTCTTGAAATGTCGCAAAAGTGATTTCTAAGAAATAGTCATTTCTAGAAGTAGATTTAATATGGGTTTATTAGAATGCGTAGGTTTTGTCAATACAGCCATATGGTGAAATCTATTGATTCAACTCTTAGTGTTATTTGCTAATTTCTATGAATTTTCTACATTACTTGGTATATTGATTTAGTTTACCTTTAAATATTTTCCTGTTTCATAACCGTAAGATACCGTCTGCATATATCTATATATTTCATTTCCAATTTCCAACATTAATTTTAACATTTATGATGGCGTCGCTTGGTGGGGGGGGGGGGGGTGTCATATCCTCAGACATGCTGGTGTCCTCTGGGCTAATGATGACGGCCCTATTACATACAGTGTGCTGCGAGGTGAATTTTGCCAGGGTATCGGCGCTAATTCGAATTCTGTTATGAGCTCTTTTACGTACGTCAGTGTATACACGGGACCTCGGTTTTCGTCCCATCTAAATGACTAGACAATGTTCTTGTCAGGCCATCCTTCCTGCACTACTTACAAGGGCAAAATACGCCGGGAAATCAAAAGGAATTTTCTCGGCAAACTTCGGAAGCGAGCCATCGTATTAAACACTGTACCACTGCGGCTTCCCATGCCTCTCCACAAATATATTATTCATTCTTAATATAAGTAAATGTTGCAAATCTGCTAAAGTGAGTCGGAGGAGCGTATTTTGTGAATGGAGATAAGGTCTTTACAAGCATAAATGCCTCCTTGAAGAGATCTGGGAACATAGATACATTAGTTAAGAGTTTAATAAAGAGTTGGCCATTCTTGCTATAATAATTCAAAAATAGATGATAAAGAAAGAAAATATTGAAAATTTCATTCAAATTACTTCATTCTCAGCCAAGTTATCATTGCTTGTAGTTTTGACAAGATGTGTGCATAGTGGTAGCCAGGGCACTAGTATATTCGGGACTTAGCCTCGCTTTTCCATTAAATTTTTAAATGGCGAACCGTTTTAATCTAGTTAAAATCTTAAGTATCCGATGCCATCGAGAGTTGATTATGGTGATGTTTTGTTAATAAATGTCTAATTAATAGTTTATATAACATTTCAGGCCTAAAGAAAAACCTGCAATAGGCAGATTTAGCTCTTGCATAATGTATGTTTAAACTGCACCTTTTAATGTTTGTCCATCGGGTATACCCAAGTGTTTAGCAGAAGTACGTGAAGCTATTTATATCGCCAAAAGACAAATATTGATTGAAGAACTGTTTTGTATTCCTTATAAATAGATTTTTGGACCATTAACTCATCTTGTTCTTCTTCTTGTTGCTGTTAGTTGCTCTTCTTCTTGTTCTTGGGGTGACGCTCTTCCAAAAAGCCTAAGGCCGCACCAATTCAAGTCCGATCGACATGAAAATTGGTATGCTTGTTCTTTGAATAATTCCGCATCGAGCTGGTGAATTAGAATTTTGAATTTCATCCAACAACATGTCAGTTCCGGGTCCATTGTACGACCCTACTTATTAAATCATATTTCATTTCTTCAAATCAAAATGGTTGGACGTACAACCGTAGACTATAAACCCCAGAATAAGCTAAACATTGTTCACTTGTATAAAACAAAATAGATATATCCGCTTCATTTAAAAAGAGAAATAATGTTTCACATTTAAAATGTGAATTATACAATTAAAAAAAAGTAGGGGATATTTGATTTTTAAGTGTTATTAAAGTCACCTAATGAAACTGACGAAGAAACAAATGACAAAATGAAATGAAGTTCACATTCATCGATTTATTCCAAATGATCGTTAGACTAAATAAGGCACAGACTGACCATTATAAGGGTAAAATGATACCCGGGGTCAAACAGCAAAGTTACCACAGCATCACAACCAAGTCAGTAACGGGTAAATCCTCCTCTGTTTGCCAAACAAGCATTGATCCGACGTGGCATACTCCTAATGAGACGTCTAAGGTCATTTTGGTCGATGGGGGAGAGGTCGGGACTCAGTGCTGGCCAAGGTAATGAGGTGATGTTCTGTTGTTGGAGGTAACCTGTAACGATCCTGGCCCTGTGACATCTTGCGTTGTCACCCTGGAAGATGAAACGGCGGCCATGACGTCGTGCGAACGGCACAACATGGACTGCCAAGATGTTGTCCCGGTAGTACTGGCCTGTAACACGCCCTGCAACAACATGTAAAGCCGTTCTTCCAGTAACAGTGATGCCTCCCCACACCATAACAGAACCACCCCCAAATCGATCATGTCTGATGACGTTAACGTCTTGGAAGCGATCGTTTCGACGACGCCACACCCTCCTACGTCTGTCCAAAAAATCAACAGTGAACCTTGACTCATCTGAAAACATCACATTGCTCCAGCGTCGATTATCCCAGTGTTGACGATCCCTACACCAACGACGTCTTGCCTGAATGTGATGATCTCTCAAACAAGATATCACGCGAGGACGTCGGGCGCGAAGGTGACCCCTATGCAGTCGATTCCGAATCGTCTGGCCACTCACTCTCACACCAGTGTCTGTTTGAAGACGAGCGCTGATCTGATTTGCTGTGATGACACGATTTCTCAAGGCCAAGGTACGGATAAATCGATCCTGGGCTTGAGTTGTCGCCCTTGGTCGACCTGAGCGTGGTCTGTCCTGTACAGATTGTGTATCACGGTATCTGGACCATAGCCTGCTTATGACAGACTGAGAAACATTCATCGTCCGCGCCACAACCGCCTGTGTTGTGCCGATCTGTAGCATGCAAAGGGCACGTAACCTTTCATTTTGGGTAAGCCGACGTATATCAAAATTTGTTTTCTGGTCACTAAAACAATTAAACTGATGTTTCCACCCTGGAATTCAATGCCACAATGACTGTAACATTCAAAGTCAGAGTCGTGCAAATCTTGGGTTGGACCCCCATGATGATCCCAAGCATCACCTGCATTCCATGCGGTAGCTATTGGTGCGTTTGGGCGTCACATGTAACTGGAAATGTTTCTTCTGTTAGGTTCTATAGTGACTTTTTTCGTAGTCATTTGCATATTTTAGTATTATGCCCCCAAAATCAAATATCCCCTACTTTTTTTGAATAGTATATTTCGTTGTAATTGGTTGTAAATGAAATGGGGTTTAACGTTCTACGTTTTACATCAACCGGCATACGACATGCGCTACTCTTATTTCCAATTCCAACTGTCAAGGATTCGTTTACGTGTATGCCAATGTGTGCACAGGGCGTCGGTTGTTCGTCCCATCCGAAAGACTAGACACTGTTCCTTGCCGGGCACTCCACCCTGAACCAGTGACAAGATGAAACCACGCTGCGGTGAATTTCGAACCCCGAATCTTCTGGTTATTGAGCTAGAGTGACTCTAAATTTAGTTGGAATCAGCAACATTCACATAGCTGTAGTTTCATTAAAGATGCGTTGTGTACGATTTAGATAAAGAGCTGACAGTACTATCGCTATAATAGTTTAAAAACGGATAATGAAAAAGGAATATATTGAAAATTTCAGTCAAATAACTTTATTCTGTGCGAAGATATCAGTGTTTGAAGTTTTGATAAGAATAGCGTAGACTCGATTTTCATCGCTACCTTTGTTACGATAATAAACAAAGTCTCGATTATCCATTTTTAAATTAAAATATTAAATGGCGGATCGTGTTTCAATCCATTCAAAATCATAGAGTTGAGGGGATCACGTGGCTAAGTGGGTAAGACGCTGGCTCGCTAGCCTGGAGGTCGGGTGTTCGATCCCTGCATTGGCCGAGAAAGTTAATCCAGATTTTCCGGCGTGGTTCCCCCTTGTCAGTGATGCAGGACGGAGGGCCTGACAAGGACAGCTGTCTAGTCCTTCGAATGAGACGAAAAACCGAGGTCCTGTGTATATATTGGAATGCACGTAAAAGATCCCCTTGCAGTTGGAATTCGATATAAGAGTAGGCGATAGTGCCGCTGCCCGGGCAAAATTTCCCTCATAGCACACTGTATGGCGTATGCCCGTCTTCATTAGCCCAGTATAGGAGCAGAACAGTAGGACGTTAAACCCCATTTCATTTCATTTCAGAGAGTTGATTAAGTGCTTGAACTGTGAATAAATGTCCAATTAATAATTTATATAACATTTGAAGCCAAAAGAAAGATTTAGCTCTTTTTCCTGTTGATATTAATGGTGGTTCAATGTGAACTATAATTATGTTTGGCACTGGTTGATGAACATTGATTATGGCCAGAGAATTGAAACCAATTGATTTTTCTATGACCACATTGAAATGTGATCGTAAGGTGCCGTCCCCTCTGTCCGTCGGTTGGTCCGTCCGTCGACAATATATTGTGATCGCTCTAGAGGCTGAAGTTGATATCCGGTTGGCTTGAAATTTATACACATTGTTTAAGATCATCAGTTGAAGATGTCTATTAATGTTCAAGGATTTCCGACAATTTCTGCTCGAGTTATGGCAATTGATCACTTTGAAAAATCTTAAATATCAGGTGGCTCTGTATTTTCTGTGGGCCTTTCCCAAATTCGATCATTCATTAATTGTATTTTAAATTAAAGAAAGCATGTCACCGTCACTTAGCCACTGGTATTAAATATCAGGCTGTTCTGTTTTTTCTATATGTCTTTCGCCAATTCAATCGTTCATTTATGTTTGAAAATTGTACTTTTTTTAGTTTAGGATTGCCGACTGTTTGGATATTATCTTGATGTTGATTGGCTGTTTTGTTGCTATGTTACATGGTGCAGCATACCCTGCTTTGATTTACGTCTGTGGGGATTCTATAGACATATTCATTAGTACTGGAATATTTGAGAGTTTGTCAAGTTTGATGTCGTATCCGGCTTCCTGGGAACCGTTAATCTTACAGTGGAATCTGTCCTTAAACAACCAGACCTTTTAAAGTAACAAAACGCAGATTACCTTATTTAGTCCTCTTGTTATTATTGGATTCGTCCATTGGATTATTCTCATGAAATGAAATGTGCGTGTATGTCCGCATTTATGGAGGTAATAAACTTACCGAAAGGTAAAAACGGGTTGCCGTTTACCTCCTTATAGACCGATTTATTAACCTTCTAGGTGGTAACAATATTGGATCGACTGAGCCGTCTCGGGATGAAATTTAATACTGTTTAACTATGTCTCCGGAAGGAAGTATTATCACCATACATTAAGAGAGAAATGGGGTTTAATGTTGAAATAATACTAACCATGATATTTTAGACTAGCTTGTGGTACATTTATGGTAAAGGGTGGGGGTGGAGGTTAGACAAACTAGCCTACTCTTTACCAAGAACAAGTGTGAATCAAAACCACGTCACTTGCCGCAACGGAAGACCTTATGAACTAAAACGCCAGAGTTAAATCATCTGTCCATTATCTCAGAGAGTTATTGCAAAAGCCTTCTAATAACTCTGTATAAAATGGCTGGCCTTTAAAAGTTCAAGTATACTTTCTAAATGTGACGTCAAATCATGCGGCTCCGATCATTGGCTCGGTTGTACGTGCATTGTTTACATAAGACGTTGTAGCGTAAACCGGCCGGGCAGAATGGTGCCTTATACTCATTTTATATAGCCATTTACACTAAATAGTAAATATTTTTTATCTCGATATACTTCATACACCTTTATTTATATTTCTAATACTTCAAAAATATATTTTGGAATTTAATTTGCAAAAGGAAAAAAGTTAATATTGCGAGCTAATTAACTCGCACCGATGTCATCCCTTGCAGTGATTGTAGCGGACTTGCGAATATTCACTTCTGAACACTGTGAGCCGACAGCATTGCAGTTTCATCATAGCACACAGTTCCAATACCATAACAAAGATTCGCTTGATTTTATGTTACTGGGCCCTGTTTCACGAAATTTTAACTAAAGATAAAATCAAAATTTTAGTAGATACTTCAATTTTGATTGGCTAATCACTAAAATCAATCTAATATTATCCAATCAAATTACTAAAATTTGGATTTTATCTTAGTTAAAATTTCGTGAAACAGGTCCCCAATACATTGTGCGCGCGCGAAAGACCTCTTGACAGTTGGAATTCGATATAAGAGTTAGCCGCAGCGCCGCTGTCATGGCAAAATTTCCACATAGTACACTATGCCTGTCTTTAATATATTCCCAGTCGGCGTAGAACAGTAGGACATTAAACCCCATTCCATTTCATTTTATAGCCTCGCACACTACATGACATGTATGCCCACCTGCCAATCAAATGTTAAAATTTAAGTTTGTGCCCAGCAAGGAAATTAATTCAACCCTCTATTGGGGGATGCTGTAAAACTTTCAGATGAGTATCGTCAAAAGGCAAGGCCTGTGTTTTGTTTCGGTCAATAACATATATATTTCAATTTATTTACATTATATGTGCGTTGTGCTTTCATAAATTATATGTGTTATGTGCTTTCGAAAGTTCAAATTATATGTGCCATGTTTTTTTCAGAAATTTTACGTCTGTTGATAAATCAATTGAGATTTACGTGCTTTTGTATGCAACAGGCAATGTGAATCAAAACCGGGCCCTGCCATATTGACTTTTTAAAATTTTGACTCGGGTTATTGCATTCCGAGCACAGAGAATGTATTGTGGATCTACTTCGTTTTAAATGTTTGATACATACAAAGACTAAAATAATCATTCTTGATGTTATTAAATTGAAGCAAAGTAAAAACTTTTCAGAATTCTCGAAGTATATTTAATGCTTTCGGCTAAATTCGTCGATTTATGAATTAAAATGTCGGTCAATTAGCTTCGTGTTTGTTCTCAAGCTGAGCTATATCTAGAAATAAAGTTACTGTCCATATTCATAAGGTATATCTGACTTTCACTTTACTATTCTTTAGTTTTTCTTCTGTAACTTTATCAAAACTTTCACTTTCAGCAACAGTTAACCAATTTTTCCAATCTCCTACTTTACCTGAATAATAATGATAAAGAATTTGGTTTAATTTTACAAATAAGTCAACACCGTCAAACTGATTTTACACAATAGGTCAACACCATCAAACTGATTTTACACAATAGATCAATACCATATCAATACCACTAAGCAGCCAGTTTATGAAGTATAAAGCAGTACTTGTCCTAAGCATGCTATAAAATTACTTCTTTATGAAAATATATTGCATTACAACCTCTGAATTCATCCAGAACAATTATCAAGAGCGTGACAAATGCTATCATAATACAGTATCGAAATTGATATCATTACACGGGTCATTCGGCTATAAACGACAGCGTGTTAGTTAAGACTAAAGATTATACAAGAAGACACGATAAGCTCCCTCACACCTCTTTGATTATATATCTACTGTTTCTGGATAACATTTCTACATCTTAGACAGACTGGCACACGTTTCGGTTGCTAACAATGTAAATTCGAATTGAACAACCCTTTTTTTCCTGGCACTTACATAAGGTTTGACTTTACTATATATGGCGAAGAGTTGGTTCAATTTATAATTTATAGCGGAAATAGTAAAAAGTAGTGGATCGCGGAATAGATTAGAGTAAGTTGTTTTAATTGGGTATAGAATTGAAATTCTCTTCGACCCATACCTTTTCTGTAGACCGATAATCCTTCCTTCCATTCACATTTTAAAAAATCATCTTTAATTTCCTCGTTAGCTTTCTGTAATTTCTTAAAGCTACAGGCTTCAACTATAGCTTTGCATAACTCATCAGACGCTGGCAAATCTAGAAATTTAGCTAAACCTTTTACATGTTCTGCTGGATTCTGAAATAATTATATTATGTATTAGCTCATTAACTCAGTCATTATAGAAAAACAAAAACCTATTAATTTCATTTTGAAGAAAAAAGTAATCAGAAACTAGCTACATATTATTCTACTGGATTCTGAAAAAATTATTATGATTTTTTGTAAAAGCAAACCATGTTTTATATTATGAAATATAAACATACGATTATTTACAAAATGAAGAAAGATAAACAAACGGTTGAAAACAATATATATAAATATGAAACAAACCTCATGCATATCTTCATAGGTAAACTGATAAAATGGATTTTCAGTTGTTTCAAAGAACTTCTCCCACTCTAGAACGTAGTCATACCACGTTCCATACGGTACTGAAAGACAATAGAGACTTTTGACAAGCGTAAATTTCTGGTCCGTATCACGTATCCGTATCGATTATGCTTGTGACGTCATCAGTGTATGTGTTTTACTCATACGTGATACGGCACACGGATACGGCAGCACGTATCGAACAGCTTTCATACGGAAAAGGTCCGTATAACATCGTCATCTTTTTACCATCTTGTTTGCTACTTTTAGAAATGTTGTGGTATAGCGTGTTTATGAATCTATGTGTATCTTAGAACACAAAGTTGAATATTTGATGTGATTTTAACCATGATAAAGACCGGAATTTAATCATTATGTTTGATGAGCTTTTATGGAAATTTTCATATTTTTCCTGTCTGTCTGTCTGCATGCTGGTTGATCTACGTGCTAAATTTAGGGAGGTGGGACCTTGCAAATCTCTAAATGATGTGATTCTATGGTAAATGATACATTAGTGAAACCAAAAAATAGAACTAAGCTCAGTTCATCTACTCATACGTACGCGGCGGGAAAATCTGCCAAAACTCTAAAACTTTATTGACGCAACGTATCACGTGACGATACGGATACGTGATACGGATGGGAAAAAATCCGCTTGCCAAAAGACTCTAATATGGTTATAAACACGTAACGTGAAGATAGTTTGGTAGATTCAAAAGTTGTTTTCGTAAATATGACAAATACATTAACGGTTAGAGAATATTACAATAAGAATATGCTGGTAACCTAATATTCTTTTTTAGTAATAAAATTATTTTGCTTTTTTCGTCAGCAGCCATCGTTGGCAGTGAGTTGACTAGTTACTGTAGAGTTTTACCACACGGAGATCATGGCGCCAGTTCTATTTGGTTCTAGCCAGTGTTCTTAAAACAGTGGGGCAATCTTGAAATGGAACGTTAACTAAAATCAGCATATTCCATTTCAATAGCATGGAAAGGCGACGATGTATACAGGCATCCGTTAAAAATTACAGCCATCCGATATAGAGTTGAATATGGGCTTGGCATGTAATTAATGATTTATATAACATTTGTGAACAAACGAAAGATCTACAATAGGACGATTTAACTCTTACATAATGCATGTATAAGGTGATCTTTGGATTTAAAAATAAAAATAACTTACCAGTTTTATACAAAGACATATCTATGAAATCTCTGATAGTTCCATAGTACTTTAAGGTAACATCTACTCCACTAACATGGAAGAAATACGAGACAACAGTGTCTTTTGGGTTCCGAAGCAGATAAATAATTTTGGTTTTCTTTGAGAACATCTCTGTGGGTAAATGTCGCGGCCATAAGTGAGAATTAAGGAGACGTGGAGACGGTTCCTGGTCTATATCCGCCATCTTGCCGAATTCTAACATTTGTTTCTCCTTGATCTGTTTGTTATATTCTGTAGATTGACTTCGTAACATTTGAATAACTTCCCAGATCCAGTGAGTACCTGAAATTAAACTTTGACAGATATGATATGATCTAAATCTTTTAGATCATGTGTCATTTCAAAAGAATGTATTCTGTATCGACTCTCGTGGTCATGTTTTGGGAGAATCGGTCATATCTATTTACTTCGTGTTGTAACATAACCGTTACGATGACATTTTTAAAATTAAATCATTAAATGGTGATAGTATTTCATGTAATGACCATACGACCGTCTAGAGAGTTGATTATGGTCCTGTCATGTGAATAATAATTTATATTACAGGTGAGGTCAAAAGAAAGACCTGCAATAGTAGATTATGCATCTTTATAACATTTTTAACAGGTGATTTGTCACTGTTATTTTTTATTGTTAGAATATGTAAATATGTTGATCGCCATCTTAAATGCCATAGGTCTGGGCCCTTATTCACTAAAACTTAAACTAAGTTACAACCGAAATTTTAAGAAATACTGCAACTCCATTGGATATATGCAAATTGGTTTTACTGGTCAGCCAATCGAATTGCAGTATTTCTTAAAATTTCGATTTTTATCTTAGTTTAAGTTTTTTTGAATAAGGGCCCAGGTGGTTAAAGTATCTACACACTAAAAACATAGCTTGCCAGTCAAGGTATCAAGGTAAAATACGGTACTCAGGGTGGCTTATGATTGTTATAACTTTTAAAGGTTTTTACTGTAAATAAAGATCAGGATCCAAATTTTGTCAATCGGGCGTCATTTATAGAATGGGGAGACCATTTCTTGACGGAGTGGAATTCCTAACAAAATAATGTCAATGAATGCAAAAGAGATCATATTCCAATTAAAATACCCGATTTCAAAGCTTGTTTGTTGAACATGTGAAATACTTCTTTAAAAGGGACACATACCTGCTTTTGGGTAAGCACATATCATGACGTCATCATCTCGTATCTTGAGATCCTTGATTTGTCTAAAATGAACTTCCGGTTCTTCTTCTACGGGCATTAGATAAACCCCGTCCACTTCAATCATCTTAAAATCATTTCCTGACTTGTCTTTGATTACAATTTCTTTAATAGTACCGTATTCATTATTACCAACGTTCTCCATTTTCAAAATGTATTCACCATACAGTTTGTTAATGAAATTTCATAAACTTTTCCAGTCTGAATTTGATAAAAAAAAAAAGAAGAATGGCATTATTCAAATATTCCCTTATTAAATTATTTCCTGTTGGCGTGCGCGTTGAATCATAAAGTCTGTCATTGAGTCAAGTGGCGTGGTTTCGATTCCCCGCTTATACGTGACAAGCAGTTTGGGTCACCTGTCCAACCTCGGGGATTTTCTTAGGGATCTCCGATTTCCTCCCACTGCTAAAGATCCTACGCGCAAGCGAATTATTGAAATAAAATTGAAGATATTTTAGTCCCGAAATGACCTGGTTTGTGTCGAGTGGACGTATAACCCCATCTCTCTCTCTCTCTCTCTCTCTCTCGCTAGCTCACTCTCTCTCTGTAATAAAAATTCAAGACTTGGCCATGTTGAAATTTATCTTGTCTTATCGTGAAAAAATCATGAATAAAGGACAAAGCTGTTGATAATGTAATAAGTAGGCTGAATGATATTTATATACGTGCATACTGAATATTGTGTTCGTAGAAAACATTAATTTATATGTCAAATGACCTCGATAGCCTGCTATAATATCTAATTCATTAAACGTACCTCGATAGCCTGCTATAATATCTAATTCATTAAACGTACTTTTGTTTAAAAATAACTAGGTCAATAATTGCTCTGATTATCTCTAGGTATTGGTGTGTGTCGTGTACGAATCATGGTATGTTTTCATCAATTCATAGAACACATCAGCCTTTTTCTCCTACTATGTGAAGACATGTTGGCCCACCAGTTAAAGTCGTTACAGGCAGGCGTATATCGACTAAGGATGCAGGAAAGCCATATATTAGTACGTGTTTTAAAAATTAATGAAACAAACATATTTATAATATTAATATGACATCATATTTAAATTACCTAAACTAAAGTCTCTATTTCAGTACAACGCCCGTTATATCTCCAGAGGTTTCTCTATATACACAAATGCATCGCTATCAATATGAACTGCATATACTTCGTGTTCGTTTGCAAGTTATGGAGAGATTATTCAGTATAAAAAAGTGGCTTCCGTTATCAGTAATAAGACATAATGTCAAACTTAATAGGTCGCCCTGTATTATTTTGCTGTCGAGTCTACAGTCGCGTTGACACTTGGGAGGCTATATGTATATGGCGGGATTTAAGGGCCAAAACTAAATGTAAGTTGAAAGTGTTATTATACATCATAGAAAATACCTAATACCTAAGATGCAAAATACATATGTCGTTATACTTATAATGATGAATACATAATACCGTTAAAGTAAAAGTCAAAAGTCAAATTACAAATGTTTTTGGGAAAAAATCCACTAATGTTGCAAAGAACAGAAAATGTTCACATATACACTTCAACAAAGCAACTTTGCAAAATGACATTTGTCTTTTGTCTTTTAACGCATCTTGAGTTCTTGGGGTCAAAGGACAACGGTCAAAGGTCATCGGGGAATATGTAAAATTGTTAAAATGAATGCTCCCATGAAGGAAAGATAAGCTTGTGGTCGTCTGCTTATTTAACAAGCTTGTCGTTGTCTGCTTAGTGACCTTCTGGACACTATAAATATGTTGTATGGATTTTGACTTTACCGCTTTACTTGTTATTATCAATTAATAGAATCTTGCGTCAATTTAAATGTACGGAAACTGTATATTTGGAAAGATTAAATATATTAAATGATTATTATGTACGATAACCTTTTGAAATAAAATTTAAATTTTACTTTGATTTTGAATCTGTTCTTTGTTGTAAATTGTTATTTAGGAGCTCATTTCATGAAAACAAAACGATTAGTCCACTTAATGAAATGTTCTTTAATTTAGAAAGTAATTACAATGATTGATTTTAAAATGGTTCATTCAACAATGTTTTAAAGTTTTTACTGCCTGCCAGCAATCAAAAATTTAATATAACAAGAGATGGAAACGTTTCATATCCCATCCCATATACTTACCTATGCCTACTACAGTGAATAATGAGAAAAGATCTGATTCTGATTTTATATTTAATTTCATTTATTTATTTACTCAAGTGCAGTTTACGAAAGTTATCCGAAATATGAAACACCAATACCATAACTCCTCCAGGAAACTGTAATTTACTGACTTTACACAGTCCAATGACAATGGTATTTAAACAAAAATATGACAGCAAAAAAAAATAAGTGAAATGAAATGGGATTTAACGTCCTAATTTTCTGCTCCTAATGAAGACGGGCATACGGCATACAGTGTGCTATGAGGGGCATTTTGCCCGGGCAGCGACACTGTGGCCTACTCTTATATCGAATTCCAACTACCAAGGGATTTTTACGTACACGCCAATGTAGACACGGGTTCCCGGTTTTTTCGTCCCATAAACGACTAAACAGTTGTCCTCTTGCCAGGCCCTCCGCTCTAAAAAAAAAAAAATAAGATGCCGCATGAATAATAAATGCCTATACATTCTGACAGTCAGCACGCCCGACCCTGATGGAAAGATCCATAATGTTAAAATAATTTTATATAGCCTACATTTAATTTAAACTTGTATCAGCCCAAGTCACACATGACACAATTTGGTATTTATCAAAAAGTATATTTACATTAAATTAAATTTATTCTAAATGTGTTCAATCTAGATGTAGGCCTATTTTGTGTGAAGTTTATAATATATGACTAAAACGGCTAGGTGTATTAACATTAGTTAGTCTACAGTTAAAACCGAATTGAAATATATAGGGGTATATAATGTCCAACAAACTTCGTTTGTAAGAATGATTAACGGTAATCTCAATAATGGATGGCACCTTGTTTAGATTATACATATTTGAACTGTATAGTTAGCCTATCTAATATCAACATCATGACTGACAAGTCTCCAGATACTAAAAGAAGGTCCAGCCTATATCCGTTCTTTCCTTCTTAGGAGTATTCATTTTAACAATTTTACATGTGAACCCGATGTCCTTTGACCCCAAGAACTCAAGATGCGTTAAAAGACAAAAGACAAATGTCATTTTGCAAAGTTGCTTTGTTGAAGTGTATATGTGAAAAGGTTGTGTTCTTTGCAACATTAGTGGATTTTTTCCAAAAAACATTTGTAATTTGACATTTGACTTTTACTTTAACGGTATTATGTATTCATCATTATAAGTATAACGACATATGTATTTTCCATCTCAGGTATTAGGTATTTTCTATGATGTATAATAACACTTTCAACATACATTTAGTTTTGGCCCTTAAATCCCGCCATAATATGTATAGACATTAACGCGCAAGCGGTTAACGGCAACATTTTCTCGATTCTTGACTCGGTTACAAAATTATGATGTCATAATGTTTCAAGAGAGAGAGAGAGAGAGAGAGAGAGAGATGGGGTTTACCGTCCTCTCGACACCATCAAGGTCATTTCAGGATTAACATATAGTTCAATTTTATTTCAATAATTCGCTAGCGTTTTTAGCAGTTGGATAAAACCGGAGACCCCGGAGAACACCCACGAGGTTGGACAGGCCACCCTACTCCTAATTGTCACGTAAAAGTGGGGAATCGAAACCACGCCACTTGTCTCAATGACAGACCCGGTGATCAAACGCGCCTTCAGTCACGCATTTGAAATAAAGATTGGTTGGGAGGTGAACTGATTTTACCTTTATTCGTCTACAGAGGCGTGGTGGGTGGGTAGGCAGGGTACACTGTAACAAAAATTTCCGTGAAAAAACGTAAAAAATTCCGGAAACAAAAATTACCAGGAAACTTTTATCCGTATTTGTTTTTCCTGTAATTTACAGAAATTCCTTCCATTAACATAAATTCCATTTTCAAATTCAGAAAAAAAAATCCTGGTAAATTTTCTTTCCTGAGCATGAAGATGATAAAAATTTCATTGAATTAACCATTGACTTTATACCCGTGCGTCAAATAGCTTTATCTAACGTCCGCTTCCACCGAAGTGATATCGCAGATACTCTTTAACCATAACCTCTTTTCGCTAATATATGAATCGAGAGCAATGTATCACAACCCGCCACTCGTCAGTGGTTGGAGGCTTTCAGTGGTAGACTCTGCTATCGAGACAAACTGACTTACACTGGCCAACGGGTTGTACTATCTGGATTTAAGCCTGCTTGATTACCAGATATTACATTACCACACGAGGCATTAAAACATATTTTTACATATTTATGAAAATACTTACAATCTGATTTCCGTATGATGAATAACAATACACTTTATAGATCTTATAAATAATGGAAATTAGATATACATTTCAATTAATATACCAAACGTTACAAAATATGATTCTTCATATTATGGTTAATCCATTGAAATGAATACTATAACATGATCATTATTATAAATGATTATATATGTATACGATTACTTATCGTTGTACCGCTTATCCCATAAAATAACAGAATAAAGTCCATTACAGAACGGAATAAAACATTTTATCCCTAAATTTCACGGAACTTCTTTGTCATTCCACCGTATATTCCGTAAAATAACAGGATTAAGTCCATTATAGAAGGGAATAAAACATTTTATCCCTAAATTTCACGGAAAGTTCCTGTTAAATACTGAATATTCCACAGAAATATATAAAACACGTAATTTGAAGAAATAATTCATGCTTTTAACACAATTTTACCAAAAAATCCTTCGATTAACAGAAAAAAGGTGTTAAACTACGGAATTCGGCCACATCAAAAATGGATATTTTTTACAGTGTAGGCAGTTGGGCAACCTGCGCTTATAAATACCCCCAAAAAAAATTTAAAAAAAAAATTAAAATATAGGATTCGTTGATAACAGCCGAACCCTATGAGATTTCAAATCAGGGTATATGGTGGGAGGCTATATGTATAGACATTAAGGCGTAAACCATCAGAATGGAGTGAACATAGAAAGGATGTACCGTGTAAGCCTTTATGAAGTCAATGGCTTGTTTAATTATCAAGTTTGCAACCCGCCTACCGCAGGTTGTTTAATTTTTAATCTCTAGGTAATGTAATGGCTTGGATATGAAATGGATTGTCAGCCCAAATTTTTTGAGCGGTCTTTCTGGCGATCCTACCCTCAAAAAAGACAAAAACATAATAATTAAGAAAAGCGACAAAGGCTCGTGTTGTTTCATATTGAATCGCACAGACTATATCTCAGAGACAGAAAATCAATTAAGTAATCCTAAACATTACACTATTAGATCAACCCATCTTTAAGGACACTGCAACCTTAAACATACATTATGCAAGAGCTAAATCTGCCTATTGCAGATCTTCCTTTAGACCCGAAATATTATCTAAATTATTAATTAGACATTATTTAACGTATCCAGACAATAAACAACTCTCAATGTCAACGCTAGCCTGTGATATTTATTGGACTATGGTCCGATTTGCTGCTCAGCTTTCATCCATGATTTAATCATGAAATAGATAACTGAGATTATGTTTTTTATCGTACCGACTTTAGTAATGATGATCGAGGATAGGCTGAAATTTCAATCGCTTAATTCTCGGTTCATAGTTGATCAATTTAAGTGAATTTTTCAGCAAATTCCCTTTACATTGTCTAGTTTATAACAGTTATAGTGGGTACTACCAGCTCTTTATCTAATCTCCCATAATGTATTTTTAATAAACAACATTTTACATGAATTGCAAGACAAGGAATACATAACAGCAAAACGTCTGGACGTACACACTAGACGAATTTTGGACGTTTTTCAACATTCTGAACAATCATCATACATCTGTTAACCGCAAATGTAAGTCATAACAGCATAGATTTCTTGACACTATCGTTTTTAAAAGTAGCAACGCCAATAACACTGGCCAATTGGAAAGTATTTTTCAAAGAAACCGATACACACCAATTACTGTTCAAAAGGTCATTTCAGTCAAAACATCACACATCACACATCAATTTGACATCACACAATCTCCGATTCTCCGTTTCCATAGGATATCTACTCAGAAGGCTGACTTTGAGTCAGCAAGTACGATGGTATTTACCAAACTAATGCAATATGCAATCAGCAGTTAAAACCAAAACTTGTGGCTATCC